GAAATTCCATCCCATCATATCTTTCTTTGCCACACTAAGTACGCCATAATGGGGTATTTCCCAAGATAGGGACCCCCCCCCCCTTCCCCCCCCCCCGCCCCCAATTACATGTGCAAGCGCCCTCAGCCTTAGTTTCGGAAATCCCGGCCGGGCATCAAATGCTTTACGATCTCCTTGTGGAGGGCTTCCAGCTGACCTACCGCTGCTGGCACGCACAGACCAGTGAAGTTCATCTACGAGGTTGTTGGTGAGAGGCTTCAGGGTTTACGTGGGGATGTTCCCTCCGTATGCTAACAGGGAATGATCACCACCTACAACCCCCCTCCCCGTCCGTGCCCGAATGCCCCAACTCATCATGCCACGACTGCTAGAATATGAATGACTGCTAGAATATGCAAACCCTAAATCCGAAACCCGAATAACCCTAAACCCTGAACCCCAAACCCTAAACTATTCCGAAATTCCGAAGCCTCCACGGCGCACCCTAAACCCTAACCCCCCGCCCCCCCCCCCCCCCCCCCCCCCCCCCCCCCCCCCCCCCCCCCCGAAAACAAAAAAGAAAAAAGTGGGCCTGCACTGATCTCCTCGTGGGTGCCGGGCTCCAAGCTCCTCAGCGCGAAGGAGGGACTTTAGGGGCTTAGGGGTTCGAGGTTTAGGGGTTTAGGGGTTTAGGGGTTTAGGGGTTTAGGGGTTTAGGGGTTTAGGGGTTTAGGGGTTTAGGGGTTTAGGGGTTTAGGGGTTGAGGAGTTTAGGGGTTTAGGGGTTTAGGGCTTGGGGTTTAGGGTTGGGAGGTAAGGGCAAACAAAAACTTGCAAAACCTTAGGATCCTGACAACTCTCGACCTGAGGCTTACTTCTCAAGTCCCAAACACCGGTGGGACACTAAGGCCAAAAACCCCTTTAGCCCTCTCTGCCCTCAGTATCATGAGACTCTATCTTGGACCCCTAAGGTTGTACCCTTGGGTTTGGGGACCCTTTTCAAGATCCTCTAAGGGAATACAAGGGTCATAGTTGGAGCATATGAAGGGAACCTGTTGGGGATACCTCCTTAAGCGCCCAACTGACGATGAAGTAAGAAAAGCCCGCCTTTCATGGCTTTCGTAACCTAAGGCCCCGAAGGCTTCACGATGGCTTCACGGTTCTGAGCGATTCCCGGCTTGGTAGTTTGAAGTCCTTTGGGAGTTATGGAAATAAGGTGCCTTCTTTAGGGTGATGGTTTAGGGTTTAGTCTTTGGGGTTTAGGGTTTAAGGTTGAGGGTGCGTTGCGTGCAGCCCTTTCCCTCTCCAAACCTTACACCCCTTGAGTGTTTGGGCATTCGGTCTTCTGAAAGGGATATTGCCTTTGAGCGTATGATGAAAAGCAGGCTGCCTCTCTTGGTAGAGCTGAGTACAGGGGCCCATTTACTAAACCCCAAAGGTTTTGGGTCATGGTTTAGGGGCATTGTTCTGACGGAGAACGGATGTTTTGTGCAGTTTCTATAACACCCTTGTTCTGCTTAGGTTTTCTAGGTCCTATAGATCCCTTTCCCGCAACGCCCTCGACACAAAAAGCCGCGGACTCAAACCTGCACTACGCGGGGGGAAGTTGGTCAATGCTTGCGCGGCACTGCGCCTCATGATAAGGACCCCCAATAAGGTACACTAAACCCTAAACCCTGAACCCTGAACCCTGAACCCTGAACCCTAAACCCTAAACCCTAAACCCTAAACCCTAAACCTAGCTGAAAACTCCGGTCCCAAGTATCCAAGCCAACGCGCAGCAGGAGTCAAGATGCAGGTTTTGTGGGGCCTCTACAGGCCTGGACCGGCGTTTGCCCGATGTAGGGGTTGGTGGGGCGGGGGCGATACTAAATACGAAATATTCCATGGCCATCATGAAATGAGATACTGGTGTAAGGGGGGGGGGAGGGGGTCATTCATCCTAGGCAGAGGGCTCGCAAAGCCTAAACATACTAGAGCCCCCGCAGCCACCCGCCGCCCTTAGGAGCGGAGGTCGGGATCATGATTCAGGTCGGTTTAGGGTTTAGGGCTTAGGGTTTTCTGTGTTGCCCAACCTAGGAATTAGAAGGCCCGCATTGGCTCAGCGTTTTTTGTTGGGCTTTTGGGCTTAGGGCTCAGCGTTCAAGAGGCCTACTCCCAACAACCTTTCGAAGCCAAGCTCCCTCAGGTTTAGGGTTTAGGGTTTAGGGTTTAGGGTTTTTTTTTTTGCCACCCGCTTAGCTGACCTGTCGGACACTCTGCAGGGTTTAGGGTTTAGGGTTTAGGGTTTAGGGTTTAGGGTTTAGGGTTTGCAATGTTCTGTCGATAAGTCACTCCGCCATATCTTCGTCCGGACCAAACCCTTTTTCTGGTATCCGATATCTGGGTCTGACCTGTTGTTTGCGACCCAGACGTCCCAACACCCCGCCGTGTTTGAACACAAACCATCAACCCCTCGTGTCCTACATTTTGGCCCAAAGGACCAAAGCCAAAATACTCTTCCCCAAGTAAAAAATTGCTGAGGTCGGAGGCCTACCTTCGACCCCCTACACCCCGCGAGAAACACCGAGGTCCCAAACCCTAAACCCTAAACCCTAAACCCTAAACCCTAAACCCTAAACCCTAAACCCCTAAACCCTAAACCCCTAAACCCTAAGCCCTAAACCCTAAACCCTAAACCCTAAACCCTATTGATGGGTATTTGAGTTTCGGAGAGCCTAAGGGTAGAATGGGAGCAGATCCCACAACCCTACCAAACCCCAGGAGGAACAAACCCTAAACCCTAAACCCTGAACCAGCCACAAACCCGAAAGTCTAAACCCTAAGCCCTAAGCCCTGAACCAGCCACAAGGCCTAAACCCTAAACCCTAAACCCCTGAACCATCCAAAGTCTATCGAGCCAGGATGGCCTCACGCACGGTGCCACGGAGTAGCCCTGCCAGCGGCGCAGTTTTCGGAGGTAGTTTACTGTTGGCTAGGAGGGAATGGGGGAATGAGGTTCCCTATAAAATCCCTTAAAGGGCATATATATATATATATATATATATATCGAGGGCCTAAGTCCCCTATTCCCTGCTAACCACCAGTAAGTGTAAGGTTTTGGGGGGGGGGGGGGGGGTGGGCGTCAGGGCCACAGGGTTTGTAGTGGTTGGTCAAAATTCCTGCACCCTCGCTGAAGGTTCTGTTTCTGCTGACCCCATTAAACTCGGACTCTGATGGGCCGCAGGGTGTGTTGAAGTAAGTTATGTTGGGTTCATTGCATGATATATGCAATGTAATGGGTCTGGAAACTAAACCATGTGGCCGGGTTGGGATTCGAACCGAAGATAGTCCCGGCTCCCTTCCTTGTATGCCGCAAGCAAGACCAGACTGGCTTCGACTGCTTGCACTGCACTGGCGCTCAACAGAGATCCCGACATACTGCGTAGGTATACAAGGAGGGCCCCCCCTTACTATAGCTAAGGGACTTATAACCAAATTTGGGATCCTTTTAACCCAATTTAGGGTTCTTATAACTCTACTTTTAACTAGGGGCCCCTCCTTGTACCTGAATCCCAACAACTTTGGCGGCCCGTACCCAAGAAGCGTCGAAGGCGCGGCGTGCGAACCAAACTTGAACTCTCCAGACAGAGAGCACTGCAGAAGAGAGGCCCTAAACCCTAAACCCTAAACCTAAACCCTTTTTGCAGGCACCCCAAACGTAAACGGTTCAACCCTGTCTGAGTCTCTAAGGCAGCCACCCCTAAACCCCTCCTTCGAGGTTCATGGGCATTTGTAAGTGGGGGCTATAAGTACTTGGAGGTTCATGGTACTTAACAACCCAATTAGAACTGTACTTGTAACCCAATTATGATCCACATTTGGGCACTTCAGGGGTTTATAAGTGGGTTCTCCGTACAGCTGCAATTCGGTTATTACGTACCATGAACCTCCAAGTAGGGTAACTACACCATACTTTTTACCTGGCTCTAACTTTATTCAGGGCACTCAGAACCCTACCTCTAACTACCCATGAGCCTTCAAGTAGAGCACCCAAAGCCCCCCAAAATCCCAGTGGCCTGGAAGGGGCGTGAGTCGCACTGCCATCCATCCCGGCACAGCGGCGGGGCACCATTTCCCATGGCGAAGGTTGGTTTCGGGCAGGTCTTGAGTTTTTTCTATCTTGGGTTGAGGCTAGACCTGGGGATTTCCCAAGGGTTCTACACGAAAAAACGGTAGATATGTCAAAACTGGTCTCTTAGGGTCTACTGTAAGTAGGAGTAGGGAGTCGGGCTTAGTGGGGTGGATCGGGGACTTCCGGCTGTATTTGTTCGGGCTCCAAAGCATGCGCCTAAGAGTCGAAACCGTCCAGAGGGGTGCCAGGCCCGCCCGGGAGTCGAGACCTCCAACCTCCAAGTCTCTGTTAAGTCCACCGGAAACAAAGGCAAATTATTTAAGTATACATATATATATATATGTATATTTATGTGGATGTATGTATGTGTATGTGTGTGTGTGTCTTCAACTATATGTGCGTGTAGAAACGTAAAGATACGCACAGTAAATATCTCTTTCGAAGTTGACCCTGGGATACTCTTATGCCTGCAAGGACCCGTGGAATCTGGCAGATGTGAGGTGGCCATGGGCCGGCGGAATCCAGGAAGGGGTCAAACAACAAAGGCCGAGAGGGGACTTTTTCCCCTTGGGCCGGAGAAGCGGCAATGTGGGTTTAGGGTTTAGGGTTTAGGGCAGCACATGATCCTAAAAAACTCCTGGAGTCATGCAATGAAGCCCTCGCAGCAACATCTCGGCCACTTCGGTGCGGTTACGATGCAAGCCTGTGCAAACTCTCCATGGTTAGAGCTCAGACATGCAACTCAGCGAAGAAAACAACCCTCAACCCTTTCTTGGCATCTGGACTGCGGGAGCCAATCAGCCAGACAACTTGCAGCCTAAACTCTAAACCCTGAACCCTCAACCCGACACCCTAACCCCAAAACACAAAAGCCCTCAAACCCAAAACCCTCAACAGTGCCAAGGCTCTGTTGGTTCCATGCCTCCTCCTGGCCCCATGTCTCAGACCTGCTTGGTGCTGCAAAGCCAAACCCTAAACCCTAAACCCTAAACCCTAAACCCTAAACCCTAAACCCTAAACCCTAAACCCTAAACCCTGGAAGCCTTAGATAATTCTCCAAATCAGGGTACCTCTTTGGGATGCTCCTATACAGTAGGGCACCTTAAAGGAAGGAACCCCCCAAAGGGACCCTGAAAGACCCAAAAGCAGCTTCGAACCCGACATGCTAGATGTGCTGGGGGGCCTGAGAAACCTGAAGCCTTACTTTGCGGGTCATGCAGATGCCTTACACTCGGAGGTTCATGGTACTTAATCGCCCAACTAGAACTGCTCTTCTAACCCAGTTATAATCACATTAGGGCACTTAAGGGGCATATAGGTGGGCTATGAGTACAGGTATATAACCATGAACCTCCAAACAAAGCACACCCCATGATCCAGGTCCAGGCCTTTGATTGTTCCAGCTTTGTCCTGGAACAGAAGCATCTGCTTTCATGACAGCTTGTGCAATTCTGAGTTTAGTTGCTTGGTCCCTTAGTATGGGCCGTTACATGGGGCCCCCTTATACACCCTCATATACCCTAGACAACCCACGGGCCCATGCTTCTACCCTTAGAATGGGGAGAGCGGCCACTAAGTAGGACATGGCCTCATGCCCCGAGCTCCAGTGCCATGGTGGGCATTGGGACATCCTCTACAGCCAAACCTCACTGGCCAGCCCAAACCATGAACATCCAACCTGCTTCCCTCTTTCTCAGCCTTAGGCTGCCTACAACCTGAAACAATCACCCACAATATCCAGGCACCTCCTCGTTTACATCTGCCAGATCCCCACTTGACCCTGCATGCTATCACCCGGGACCTGCCATGACTGTAGTGACACATCTCAAAGCCCCCTTGGCGCCGGTCCTTCCCGGTTGCTAGCCTGCAAGCACCAGAATTCGGATTAACAAATGCGCTTGCTGGAGGAGCTCACAGATGATGAAGCGCTGTCCGTGTTAGCCCCACACGAAAAAAGGCAGCCATTCGCACGACCAAGGAGCCTATAGGGCCCGGCACGATAGGTATATGTGTGCATGTGCATGTGTGTGTGTGTGTGTGATTATGTGTACGTGGGTGTGTGTATCCCACCAAAATGACAAGACGAGCGCCGCGTCCCTTTGTCCTATTCTAAAACTTCACGAACCACAAGATGGCTAAATGGAGGTTTTCAAAAATACGGGACCCTTATAACAAGGACCCCAAAAAACGTACAAATGCCAAATACCAACATGACTTGCTCGCCACTACGGCCTGGGAAGCCGAGTTCCAGCTGCCGTTGCCCTCCGCACCTCGTTGGGGCAGATCTCCTAGAGCAAATCAGAGCTGAAAAGGAGATGCTCGACCCCTAACATCCCCCAACCTACGAACGCCCTTAACTCCAACACGCTCTCGCTCTCTCTCTCTCTCTCTCTCTCTCTCTCTCGGTTCCTCTCCTGCAGACCTGCATCATCTGTCACCCGTGCGCGGGCACCCCACCCAAAAGCCCGAAAAACCCCCGCAACCCTGCAAACCGCTACCCTAAACCCTATAGCCGTAGACCTTACTTTTATTACCACAAACCCCATGGATTCGGCTCTCGGCGCGCTGCTTGGGCATGGTGCTTAAAGAGGGGGGGGGGGGGAGCAGTCAGCCTCGGAAACGCGGAAAGAACGAGAAACCCCATGTTCCAGCCCCTTGTCGCTGATTGCCCTAATTTTTCCAGGGGTCAGCCAACCAAAGCAATGCCTCGTCCTCTACAAGCCAACACTTGCCGTGCGTCGCTTGTCGCGCCATTGCCAATCATCCTTCGCGCCATGAGATGTTTACACAAGTTGCAGGGCTTGGGACACCTTGGGGCAGACAGTTTGATGGCCTAGTGTTGATATCCCCCGTGTGATGGTGAACTGCCCCCTGCAGCACACTGACACTTGCGTAGCCAGCGACAAATCCAACCTGCTGCAACCTTCCACCTCAAGACATCAGAGTTTCACAAACCCTAGGCCCTAAACCCTAAAAGTTGTCTTGTCGTGGCCCACAGCTGGAGGAAGCTTTAGGGGGACTTTGGACACATAGGAGTTTCAGCATCGTGCAACCCCCCCTTGGGTAGGGGGTGGCATGGGGTGGCAGGGAAGGGGGCAGCAACTTTGTAGGATTCCATATCACATCAAGCCCTGCCGAACTGTAATTACTGTATACAAAAAACCACACACTACCATTTGCTTAAGAACCTCAAAAGAATTAAGAAACAAAAAACCCCTACATTTACCTCAATAACGAAGACTTGTTTTGCTTTTTTTCGAGGTTCTTAAGCAAGTAGTAGTACAACATCCACACGGGGCAGCGTCCGGAAACTCACTCCCCCCGGCCTGCTGGCCATCTTGCTCCGCACCCGACGGACCTGTGAAATTCAGGGTTTAGGGTTTAGGGCCGTTTAGGGTTTAGAGGCTCAAACTCATAAGACAGTTCTGCCTGTGCACGACAACTCTTATGAGCTCCAGATGGCGCAGGCATGCGTAGGCGTCGCCTGTTCACCGAGCATCCCTACGCCCTAGTTAAAGCCTGAATGCAGGCGACCTGCATTCTTGGTGAGGGCTGGGGCTAGCTCGTGCTAGTGAAATGGGGTCTCAAAGCTGCAGTTTTGCAAACATGCTACGCCCAACAACTCTTCTGAACCTTGGAACCACAATCCGCCGCTCCTTGCTAGCCGAGACACGTCGGCTGCGTGAGCGTGACCTTCGAGTGTCTCGGCCGGAGCGGTTGTCACGGCTATCCCGACGCTCCCGTCGATCGCGCCGGTCCCGATTGTCTCGGTTGTCCCGGTCACGGTCCCGTTTGTCGTCGCGGCCACGGTTATCTCTGTCTCGGTCTCGGTCCTTGCCGTCCCGATTCTCACGATTGTCCGAGTAGTCTCTTCGATCACGCTGCTCCCAGTCTCGAGCCTCAGACAGCTAATTAGACAGGTTTGGTTGGGATGCGTTGCAAAATTTCAGTGCTAAGTCTCAACATGCAGGGCTTTAGGGCGACTCACGCATAAGAGAGAGAGAGAGAGAGAGAGAGAGAGACAGAGAGAGAACCACTCAGATCTGATTCAAATCTCTGGATTGGACTTCGTGGCATTACCATCGCGCCCTCCACGGTCTCGCCGGTCGCGGACGTCGGTGCCCATCCCCATCCGGGGGCTGCCTCGAATTCAACTGTTCCTAGGGTTCAGTTCGGGCTCTAGGAAGATCTACCAGGACGGGCTATTAGGCCTGATAATCCCCATACTCAAACGCGTAAAGGGCCTTTATCAGCGGTCATAGGGTATGATAGCCCATACTAGTCGTGTCTGCGAGTGTCTGTGTGTGTGATCCCAGCATGCCGGCATAGGTTCGGAACTAGCTAAAGCAGAAACTACAAGGAGGGGCCCCCTTACTATACCAACTGTAGTTAAGGGACTTATAACCTAATTTAAGATCCTTATAAACCAATTTACGGTTCCTTATTAGTAGGGGGCCCCTCCTTGTAGTCGTGGTTTGTATCCGAGCCTGGTGAGGTTGAGATGTGGGCGGGGCTGGGGGGATCGCTCAACGAGGCTTCTGCCAAGACCTCGCAGGTCGAGGCGCGCTCCTCTCTCCCTCTTCTTCTTCTTCTTCTTCTTCTTCTTCTTCTTCTTCTTCTTCTTCTGCTGGGCATGAGAAGGGTCTTTCTCCCTCTCTCTCTCTCTCCCGCGTGCTCAATCCTGTGCGAAGCCTAAAATTCTCCGAAACCCTACAACCCCAGGCGACCCCGAACCCCTAAGCAGCCGGAGGTGCGTGGGCGGCGTCGGGCGAACGGCCTTCGGTAGTCCGAGGGGCTGCGGCCTTGATCTCGGTTTGGGGTTTATGTAGGGTTCAGGGTTCAGGGGTTCAGGGGTTCAGGGGTTCAGGTTCAGGGTTCAGGGTTCAGGGGTTCAGGGGTTCAGGGGTTCAGGGGTTCAGGGTTCAGGGTCTAGGGTCTAGGGTTTCGGACGCGAGGCACAGGCTCAAGCTTTGGGGCCCTTCAAGCTTTTGAAATGGAAAGGTTTTAGGCCTCATGAGTAGGGGTTTAGAGGTCGGGCTCAGAACTCCTCGGTGCCTTAGAAAATAGATACTCGCATTCAGAACACATAAAGAACAGATGGAATGTAAGATACATGATAACAAAATCCAACGTAGTAAAATGTAAGATTCACCAAGCGTAAGCCGAGGGCGCCCAAGACTTTGTTGGAACATGAGGACCGCGTGGCATGTGCTTCCTTTTGTGCATGTCAGGTAAGCGCTCCTTCTTCTCAGCATGGGGTCGGGTGCGCAGCTGAATCAAGCTATCCTTTAGTCGTCTTCTTCGGCATTCTGCTGCAGACAACTTCGGTCTGCTACTTAGGGTTTAGGGTTTAGGGCTTAGGGATCATGCAGGCCGGCTGCGCTCGAAAGGGTGCAGCCTGAGGCAAGCAGACTCAGGGGATCGCTGTTGGCAGGGTTGGATTCTAGCACCATTCGATAATCTAGGGAGCTTAAAATTAAAATAGGCGTTTTTGCTTTGAGGGGGGAGGGGGGGGGGGGGGAATAGTATAATTATAAAGGGACCCTAAGGGAATACTATTAGTAATGATTCTAGCACTGCAGATGCTGACTGTTGGGTTCAGGGCTTATCACGAGCACTAGGAATTCTGGCGGAGTTGCTTTATTCAAAGGTTTGGAGGGAGACCTTTGTGGTTAAAGGCTTAGCAAGGTTTGGTTCTTGAAGTTTTGCATTCGTGAGGCTTCACAAGCGCGGCTTCACGCTAGGAGGCAACAATCTAGTGCTGTTACCCCAGTTGAGTTGCGTGAATCATGACTCGATAAAAAAACAGCAAGCCAAAGGAACGCTCTGTTTCGTGTACCCCCGAGTCCAGAGGACGAGTTCAGAATTTTATGCTTGGATAGTCCTGTTCTGTAGGCAGGCTCGGGTAGCAAAACTCCGGCGAACCAAAACAAGAACAGAACAGCGTGCCTTTGGAAGCTCGAAGCGTCTCTTCTTGTAAGAAGCTGGAACTTTCGAGCGGACAGCGAAGCAACTTTCGGAACTTTCGGGAAGTAGAGCCCACTAGGGTTTTGGGTTCTGGTGTAAGCTCCGGGCTACTTTTGCATCCAGGGCTTTGCAATTGCCGTGTGCCCTGAACCCTGCCTAGATTCGAGCACATGACATGGGCCGGAAACACGCATTCCCAAATGAGGCGAAGCTTTCAAACCCCTCTTCCTGAAACAAAGCGCCCTACGCTTGATGCTTGGGCTTCGCTTTTTGGGCATGTCAGCAGTACGTATCTTGGGCTCGTACGGAACTGGAGGACTCAGTCATAACTGCACGTATAACCCAAATATAACCACATTACGGCACTTGAGGGGCTTACAAGCGGGTTATAAGTACAGTAATTGGAAGTACCCTGAACCTCCAAGCACGCCCTGGCTAGGCCCTGCCATTTGTGTCCCCGTGGCTTTCGCTCGGCTGCACTGCCGATGAACTTCTCCGCAGAGGAACTGCTGCCTGGACCGGCGATGCGAAAATCCCCCTAAACCCGAAACCCTGAAATCCGTTTAAGGCACGTAATGGGTTGGAGGCCTGCACTTTGAACCCCTAAATTTTGGTTAGGCTAACTCGCACATGCGTAGCAGCGAAGCACCCTAAAACTTGGACCCGCTACGCCCGAAACCTCAAAGCCCTTTGACCCTATAAATCCCAAAACCCTACGAGTAGAAACCCAAAACATCCAAACATCTTAGAACCCCAAAACCCTAGAAGCCCCAAAACCCTGAATCCCCACCCCCCCAGTCACCCCCCGATAAACCCTAAAGCCAGTCACAAAAAGATGTGAACCCTAAACCCTCAACCCTTGAACCCGAACCCCCCCCCCCCCCGGCCCTAAAAACTGGAGCGGGAGTTCCGGCCAAGAAGCTCGAAGAGCTGCTTGATGAGCTCGATGAGCTGCTGCGCTTGGAAGCCGCACCTGGAAGTTACAAGCTGGGGGAAAAGGGGGGTTTAGTTGAGGGTGAGGGGTGGGGTTTGGGGTTTTAGGGGTTTGGGGATTAAGGGTTTTAGGGTTTCACTGCAGGGTTTTGGAGTTTAGTCTTTCGGGTTTTAGTGTTTCGACGCTCACTCTCCCACGAAGCAGGTTCCGGGTTCTGTTTTGTCACCTGCCTAGCCGGCACTCACGACGCATTGCAGGGTATAATGCGGTCTCCAATTCTGTCCACTGTCGGGGAATTATAATCATCTACACAGTCTGGCAAGAGCAAGGTTTGGGTTTGGGGTGCTCCTAGGAAAAGCGAATTGCCTGAGAAATGGAGAAACCCAACACCCACAACGTTCTTGCCAACGTTCTTGCTCGAACGAGCTGTATGAGAAATACTCAGGCTCTGCGGCTATGTTTGCCAGCCTCCGGCCCATTTCAAGACAAGGCCTTCAAGGTTCTCTTGACTCTCATCTTAGTCCTCTCGGTCTAGGGTTTGCTTTCGGGGTACACGGTACAAGGAGGGGCCCCCCAGCTATAAGTAGAGGTATAAGAACCCTAAAATTTAGTTGTAAGGATCCTAAAGTAGGTTGTAAGTCCCTTACCTACAGTTAGTATAGTAAGGGGGCCCCTCCTTGTATGCACATGACCAGGGATCTTGCAGCACCATCTGCAGATTCAGCAGCTTCAAGCATCGGCAAAGCAAACTGGGACGTTGCTCAAAGAATCTTTTGTGCTTGAAGCTATTGCACTCTGGCTTCCTTAGGGATTAGGGTTTGGGGCTTTAGGGTTTAGGGTTTAAAATGGCCCAGGTCCTGAACCCCTGGTTGCCCAAAGCCGAGCTCTGGCCTGTTGCATTGGAGGCCTCAGTCGACAGACAGGTTGCTGGTACCGACAGGAATCTTTAGGGTCTAGGGTTAGGGTTTTGGTTTTGGCTAAACGGTTTAGGGTTCAAAACGATCAAGGTCAGGAACAGGCGGGCGTATGTATGCCACCCCTATGCTTTGCACGATCCGAAACCTACGCAACACAAGCAAACCGTCCAATTGCACAAAGCCCACAGAGATCCATCGCTCCCGGTGAGTTTCACTTCCACACCCTCTCAGCACCTCACAGTAGATTGACATCCCCAAATCGCAGGGTTGAGGGTTTAGGGTTTAGGTCCTAAACCCTAAACCGTAAACCCTGAACCCTGAACCCTAAACCCTAAACCCGAAATCCTGAACCCTATCCAAGCACACCAAGCTCCAGTACAGGCAAGCAGGGCCCTGGCCGCCGTGGGTGCCGCCGCAGGCTTGGCGGCCGCAGGCTTGGCGGCTGCTGGCTTGGCTGCAGCTTTGGCCTGCAGAGAATTCGTTCTCTCCTTATAAAGTCTCTGTACATAATATATATATATATATATACACATACACACGTACATATACATTATTGCATATATATGTATATATAAACACAATAGTCTAGTCTATGGGTATGAAATAAACACAATATAAACATATATATATATATATATATTGTACCGATATATAATATGAATATATATAATCCCGGGTCTCTTTCGCCGGTCCTCCCCCCCCCCTCCCTTCCCCTAAGACCCAACCCCCCAAACCCGGGGGGTTGGCGGCCGCAACCGGATCGCATACATATATATATATATATATGTATGTATATATTTATATATTTACCGATCTATCTACCTATCTATCTATCTATCTCTGTGTGTGTGTGTGTGTTTACGAACTTGTACATGTGAACTACCCAAGTTCCAATGATAAACATTCTCCCTTTTTAAAAGTCTCTTTACATAATACGAAGTACTCCAAACTCCAATGACACATCGGTTCGTCTGTGCCGTGGCGCATGGCGGTGTTACGTGCCACCGTAAGATGTGACAATTCAGATGGCCACCGACAATAGCATCTATACTGAACTTGGCACCTGAGCAAAAAAATATCATTTCAGCGGTTCCTTAGGGATTACAGTAACCAAATTAAATAAATATATAAATATATATATATATATGTATATGTATTTACATATGTATATATGTATACACTTGTTTCCAAGTACCCCTAAGGCATGACGAACTTCAAAGCGCCAGCGCAGAGCTGTTGCTACAAGCATATGGGCATTTCCCCAAGTAGGGAGGGGGTTACCCTTAACATACCCCAAATGCTGTAATCCTTAGAATAGGAACCCACAAAAGCGTACCCCTAAACCCTAGACCCTATTTTCGGAAACCCCCATATCTGGAGAGCGACAGACATGACTTCGACAGAGCTGTTGAAGCTGTCATCGTGCGTAGGTGTCCCGGTTTCGGTTTAGGGTTTAGAGTTTGGGGTTTAGTGCTTCCCAGGCCTTTTTCTTTCCCTCGTCAGAGGAGTCCCCAAGTGAGATCACCTCAGTTGTCAGTTGTTCCTGTAAGTCGACTCAGTCTGAGATCCCACGAAGACATCGGTCGTCTACTGCAAGGGGACTGCCCCTAATATACCCCTAAATAATATAATCCCTCGTTTAGGAACCCACACAAGGGTACCCCGCCCCCCCCTCTAGGGTTTAGGGCAGCGGCACCCAGATCTACTGCGCGTGTAGACATGGCGTGTCAAATGCAAGGCATAACAGTGAAGAAAGCATGTAAACCACCTAGTGCTAAAGCATTCAGCTCAGTAGCAGATTTGCTTCTCTTGATCCAGCCTTGCAGGGCACAGGGGAGGGGTGCACAGGAGAAAGACACCCGGAGCAAGAGTCAGCGACACAGAATTGCTGCGTACGAATGCCCACTCAGCAAAACTGGCCCCAAAACCCTGCTAGTGAGGGCATCGGGTGCTGAGTTTGAACGTGTTTTCTGGGTGCACATGCTGTCTCTGGATTCATTGGACAAGGCTAAGCGCCTGAACATAGTCTCGGTGCCGCGGCAGTTTTACCACATGAAAATTCCGCACGTTCTGAAAGAACGTACCTCAAACATGTCAGTACTCCAGGAGCACAATATCTCTCGACTACACTTAGCCCCCAGCACCCGGCAGGGTTTCTTTGCTGTCACAGGCACCGCAATTGTTGCACTCGTCGCGCTCATCTTTATTAGGCTCGTCCTGAGGAATCGAGGAGGGATGGGGGCGGTGCTCGAGCGAGTTTCAGGTTCTATGGTGGGAGTCTTCAAGCAATCAGGTTTTATCATGTTGCACATCCCCTCATTCAGACTCCAAATCGCCGGGCACCTATCGACCCTCTAACCCTAGCTGAGAACTACAAACCTCGAAGCGTAATTGAACCCCAACAATTTGGGCAAATGCTGCTGCGCTGGGGTGGAGCATCGGGGCGTAGTTGCTTCTGCCAAGGGGCGCAGCGAGGGCAAACCTCACTGACTTTTGCGAGACTCAGAGTCCAGGTTAGGGGTTTAGGGTTAGGGTTTAGGGTGTTTATGGTTCTTAGTAAGTCCTGTGGGAACCCGTTTACTTGAATCCAGCTCTGATCCTGAGTACAAGGAGGGCCCCCCTTACTATACTCACTGTAGTTAAGGGGCTTATAACCTATTTTAGGATCCTTATAACCCAATTTAGGGGAAGTCGGCCATCGCTACTGTGCTCTGCACAAGAAAAACCCTAACCCTTTGGCTTTTACATTTCGGCCTGTTGCGAGTCCCTCTCTGGAAAACCTCACCCTTTCCTTGGGGACCAAATGAACCCGGAAAGGGCTTTTGTGGTTCATGTGCCTCAAATTAGGGATTAGAGGTATATGACCCCCCCAATGTTAGGGTTCATTTTGTCCCCAAGGTTTGCATTGATGTTTGAAGGTAAGCTTCTCTGCATTGCTCTGCAGGCCTGTCCATCCTACAAGGCGCCACGGCACAACGCTCGAACTCAATGACAACCCAAGCCTGCATAAGCTTAACCCTTAACCCTAAACCGCCTAAAACCCCAAACCCTATAAACCCTAAACCCTTGTGAACCTAAACCCTAAACCCTAATCCCTTCACCCGCGCCGAGGAGCCCATTTGTCTTTTGGCTTGGGTGCTTGGCAGCCTAGGCGCATGTCGGCACTTTCGCCCTGCTTTGGTAAGTCGGTTTAGGGTTTAGGGTTTAGGGTTTATGGTCCCGTGGCCATACTGACCACACCCATATGGGAATTTACAAAAAACAAGCGACATATAGACCCCCCAAATAGTGGGATTCCCTTTTTGCAAGGACCCCAATAAGGTACCTCGATATGAGCAAGCGTGCGCCGCCGTGCCTTGATCATCCTGCAACAGGTCATGCTCTTGCATCACAATGGTTGTAAACTGCGGTTCCTGTCTAGGCCCCTAGGCCGTCTAGCCTGAGATGAAAATTCGGAGTTTAGCTTGCAGAGCTCTCTCGAAGGCTTTAGTTTTGTATAACCTGACGACGGACCGAGTGATTCCACACCAAGGTGGTGTGAAGCACTCTTTCGTTTGAGAAACCGTTCTTGGACGTGTGTGTTTACTGTCAAGCTTCGCCATCCAACTTCCTGCAGAAAACAATGTGGGACCACATGGGAATCATATGTCACGTCTCCCCCCCCCCCAACACAAAAAAAAAAAAAAAAAAACAGGGCCTGAAACCTTGCCAACCCTGACCTCACCTTTAGTAGCTCAAAGCTCGACAATCCCAACCCCCCTCCCCACCCCATCCCGGCAAGAAAAAAAACCAACCCCTTGCACCGCAAGTGCGTTCTGAGGCTGCCTGAATTATCGGGCCGTTTACGGCTGTGTAGCTGACTCCTTGTAATCTAGAGCACTCCCACACAAAGACAGGTGGCTGTTGCACACCGTCCGCTCTCCCTTGTTGGGCTCGTCGCAGCGGGGGCAAACCCAGCCTAACTGTGTTGGGTGTTTAGGGTTTACGGTTTCCCTCAACCCTAAAACCTAAACCCTAAATGTGTTTGGGGCTCAGGGTTTCGGGGTCAGGGGTCAAGGTTCAGGGCTGGGTTCAACCCTGAACCCTAAACCCTAAGCAACTAGGCCCGAATAGCAACATAAGAACAGTTTCGTCATATTAGTTTATAAGAATATATATATATATATACATACAATGCATAATTACGTATAACAATGTATTGCAACATATGAAGAATGCCTTGACATGAAGCAGGTTTGGTACGATGTAAAGGCGGCATGACCATGGTACGTTTGTGGCGTCGTCGGAAAATGGATGCACGTAAAGAAATTCAAGCCTTGTACCTGTTTGCCCAAGTAGCTTGAACACAAACAAGTTGATCAAGGATTCATGACTGGATGGACTGATATTGTGCGGTCCACCGCAAAGTAGAGGGCGCAAGTAAATAAGCTTTGCCTGAGTTCCAGTTACCCATCTGCTTGCCTGACCTCAACTTCTAAACCCTTCTAAACCCTTCTAGAACCCTTCTAAACCCTTCTAAACTCTTCGCACTTCTTCGAAACCCTGCGAATCCTCTTCTAAACCTTACATGAGCTCTGGATCTGAAGTACTCCCTTCGATCCCTTCATGGTAGCCCAGTAACCATCTCATCATAAGGGCACCCTTTTTTGGTTGGTTACTTTATAAGGGAACCCAGAACCAAAAAAAGGGTAAAGGGTACCACTGGGCTACCAAGAAGGGGTTAAGGTATATTCCCTAAACCCTAAACCCTAAACCCTAAACCCTAAACCCTGATCCCCTTGACAGACACGGAGCGTGCCAAAGGAGGTGGTGCGGCCTTGGCCACCTTGCACTTTGCGGGCGCGGGCGCCGCCTTGAGTTTCTGACTGCTCAAGGACTGTAGAACCCTATAAAACCTAAACCCCAAACCCTCAGCCCCGAACCCTCAACCCTCAACCCTCAACCCTCAACCCTAAACCCTAAGCCGCGGGCCTGTAGGGTTTAGGGCTTTGGGTGGAGTTGATGGCAATTTTCCCTTTCTCTGACTCGGTGAGGAGCAACACTCCTGAGACCAGGAAAGAGCTGCGGGCTCAGGGCCAAAACCGCACGCGTCACAGCCTGCCAAGGCCTCTACTACTTCAGAGGTGCTGCACTTCTCAAAACTACCGGAAGCCTTAATGCGGCCTCCCGCCTTAAGATTAAAGGCTCAAATACTGTCAGGGGCCCGGTCAGACTCCCCGAAAATGAAGAACCTAGCTACGACTTCAGTCATTCAGAACCCTGGCGGGAGGAGCTAGAAAATCCAGCGGTGCTCATTTCTTCGGGTATCTTATGGGAACTCTTCAGACTGATCATTCGCCCAGGAGTTTGGATAATGGAATCCTCCCGTCCGGCAGTTGAGAATGGTTGAGGTGGGTGGTTACGTTATCGGGTTTATGGGCTTTAAGATCGAGTGTATAAAATTCTCCTATAAACCCTAAACCCTAAACCCTAAACCTAAACCTTTAAACCCCAAAGGCCCAAGGCTTCAAGAGGGAAGCTGCTCCAAATCAAGGCCTTGAAAGGTCCTTGTGGGGGCGGGGGGGGGGGTCCTATTATCAGGGTTTCGGGGCTTTGAAAGGCACCTCGAATCCTCGAAGAGCTCTCGTATACTCGCAATTCCAACAACCCTAAACCCTAAATCCTAAACCCTAAACCCTAAACCCTAAATCCTAAACCCTGAACCTAAAACTCTCTTGTCGGCCGCAGTGGCGTCGGCGCTGGGTTTCGACGCGTTGCAGTTGTTGCACACGTCCTAAGCTTGACAGCAGGTGAGTTGGTAGCTTCGTCGTTTTGGGGGCGTTGGGGTTTGAGGGTTTAATTAAATTAGGGTTCCGGTCAAACCCTAGACTCAACCCTGAAGGTTCTGGGATGTTCAGGGACATACGGTTGGAGGGCAAGCCCTGGATTGGCATTGGCTCTTTCCCAGGAAGCCTGTACCTCTAAAACACACCCTTCGTGAGAATGACCTAGTGACCCTCTCCTAGCAAGATGGAGAATGGTAGTGCCGCGCCCCAGGACACATAGTGCGGCGACAAAAGCCCTGATTTCTACTGCCAGGACGCTTCTAAACCCTGAACCCTAAACCCTACACCCCTAAACCCTAAAAAACCCTTTGTCGCACTGGACCCCCAAACTTAAGGGCTTTTGGTGTATAGGGTTCCAGGGCACCTTTACCGTTTCGGGCTGCTGGGTCAGGGGGTGCTTGAGTTTATGGGACCTCTAAGTGCCTTTCATGGCTGCTCTTACAACAAAAGGCCCCTCATTTAGCCCAATCCCTTTCTGCAAAAGACCCTCCAAACAAGGTGGGCACCACGTAACAACAACACCGGTTATCCTTGAACCAAAGCATCAAAAACCTTAGGTTTACCGAACGAGGTTCAACCTTAAGGAGGCAGGTCTGTCTTGCATACGTTCGACACCCTAAGTTTGTTTGAGCCCTAAACCCTAAACCCTCTCAACCCTCTCAACCCTCTCAACCCTCTCAACCCTCTCAACCCTCTCAACCCTCTCAACCCTCTCAACCCTCTCAACCCTCTCAACCCTCTCAACCCTCTCAACCCTAAACCCTGAATTAAAGGGGTTCCCCCTAAAAGCAAAGCCCTCACTGGAATCCTCCGGGCCCTAAACCCTAAACCCTAAACCCTAAACCCTAAACCCTAAACCCTAAACCCTGAACAAAGGGGAATCCTCCGGGCCGAGGGGCTCTCGTGGCCTTGTTTGGCTCTTCACACTTGGGGCAGATCCACTTCGCGGGCTGTGCCTCGTGGCCGTGGTTTAGGGTTTAGGGTTTAGGGTTTAGGGTTTAGGGTTTAGGGTTTAGGGTTTAGGGTTTAGGGTTTAGGGTTTAGGGTTTAGGGTTTAGGGTTTAGGGTTTAGGGTAGGTTCAGGGTTTATAGGGTTTTACAGGGATTAGAAAGGGTTTTGTGGGGATTGTAAGGGTAGCTGTTTGGGCTTTTTGGAGGGTTCAGGGTTTATAGGGATTTCCAGGGATTGGAGGGATTACAAAAGGGATTTATGCGGTTTTCTAGGGATTATAGAGTAAGCTGTTTTGTGTAGGCTCAGGGTTTATAGGATATATAGGGATGGTCAAGGGTCGGGTTTCTAGGGATAATCAAGGGCTCGATAGGGTTTAAGTTTCTAGGGATTATGAAAGGTTTTACAGGGTTTGTAGGTCCAGGGTTGCATCGGCATGAGACCTGAAGTGCAGTAACACGGGGATACATATGAACCCTGAAGCCAGCACACCAGGTGTGAAATCTAAAGGGCCTCCTTGAACAAGGACCGCTTCCCCCAAACCCCATGAAGCCCTAGCACACCCCCCACCCCAGCCCAACGACTCCTAAAACTCTCGCCCCCGAGCACCCTAAACCCTAAACCCTAAACCCTGAACCCTGAACCCCAGAGGTGGGCAAACCGGAACCAAACAAATCCTCCCAAGGCCTGAAGCGGTCGACACACAGCGTTGACAGTACTTCGCAGCTGGAAAGTCGTGAGCCTGGAGGTACCTAGAGCCATGAAATCCTAAACCCTAAACCCTAAACCCTAAATCCTAAACCCTAAACCCTAACCCTAAACCCTAAACCCTAAGCCCCAAGCCCCAAGCCCTGAGCCTAACCATGCCATGCCTCAGCAGGCGCAGCGTCCGGGGCTGCCTCATCCACAGGGGGCCCCTCTGCTTCCGCGCTGCCCGCCTTGACAGGGGGCAGGTTCGGGCTTGGACTCTTCGGGTTTATAGGGTTTATAGGGTTTATAGGGTTTAGGGTTTAAGGTTTAGGGTTTGGGGTTTAGGGTTTAGGGTTATAGGGTTTAGGGTTTAGGGTTTAGGGTTTAGGGTTTAGGGTTTAGGGTGTAGGGTGTAGGGTGTAGGGTGTAGGGTTTCGGGCTTAGGGTTTAACGGGCTTTATGCACCTGAAGGATGATCTGTAGACATGCAAAGGAGGTCTTGAAACCTGCTAGAAAGTACAGGCACCGTGTACTTGACATCCCCCCGGGTCAGTTCAAAACTCGGCCAGCCTCAGAACTCTTCACCTCTCCCCGGGGTTTAGGGTTTAGGGTTTAGGGATATTGGGTTTATGGGTTAGGGTTTGGGGTTAGGGCAACTGTTGCAGATTCCTTGTCATAGCACTGGTGAAAGCTGCCACAAACCACGGAACAAGTCGACTTCGCAAATGCCCCCCTTGTGGCGAGCAAAGAGTTCACCTACACCCTGAACCCTAAACACCCTAAAAACCCTAAACACCCTAAACACCCTAAACCCCAAACCCTAAACCCTAGCAAGACCCGCCTTGTCCACGGAGGAAGCCTTCAGCTTTGTAGGGTTCTCAAAAGTCGGTGGATTTCTTATTTGGGTTTAGGGTTTAGGGTTTAGGTTTCTTTAAGTTAGTGTCACCTTTTGGGGATCCCTTGTTAAAGGGTGCCGGCTTATAATGGGTACCCAAAAGGGACCTGATTTAGGAAACTGCCCTTATGACTTTCGGGAGTGGCTTGGTCTTGAGCCAGGCCTTCCGGCCCAGGCTAGGGTTGTCATGATTCCTATACTGAACTTGGAACCTTAGCTGAAATTGATAGTTTTTGCGGTTTCTTAAGCATTAAAGTATACCCGAAAACAAAAAAACAAAAACGGGGCTGGGGCCAGGTAAGGTATCATTCAACTGCGCACGGACTCTGTGTAGAGGCACCTCGGCTGTAGGAGGCTCCGGCTGCAGCTTGCCATTCACCTGCAGAGAATCCCACAGTCGGCAAGCAAGTCTCTCAAGAGACAGGCAAACGCTGCCCTGCCCTGGCAACCACAGCTGCAAGAGCACATGCACGCAGATCACACACCCCTACTTGGAGGTTCATGGGGAGTGCTAAGTGGGGCTATGAGTAGGCGAACTAGAACTATAACTGGTTATAACCTTATTTAGGGAAACTATAACCCCACTTATAACTACCCATGAACCTTCAATTACCCTACCATAACCAACTGCTGCCTACTCCCTGCCTCATTCTCAGCCCTTACAGGCGAGCCCTCCTTGGCAGCGACATTCTCCCTGGCAGAGGACTCATCGTTTGCAGAAGGTGCCTGCTTGGTTGCGGGCTCCTCCTTGCCAGACATTTCTGCTATGGCCGAAGCAGAAGGCGCCTGCCTCGCCGCAGGCTCCTCCTTGCCAGAGATCTCTTCTTTGGCAGAATGCTCTGGCCTGGAAGAAGGCTCTTCCTTGCCAGACTGCCCTTCTGCGCCAGGAGGCGATGCCTCAGGCATAGAAGAAGGCTGCTCCTCTGCGGAGGGCTCCTCTTTGGCAGAAGGCCCTGCCTTGGAAGAAGGATCTTCTTTGCCTGACTCTGCTGGCGCAGCTTCCTCCCCGGTTGTGCCATTCACCTCACAGGCATGGAGCTGAACTGAGAAACCATGTCATAACTGCAAACGTCTATGACCAACTTCAGCAGCTCACCCCCTTCCCCCCCCCCCCCCCCCCCATCTTGGCAGAAATCCCCCTAAATCCTCAATCCTTAACCCCCCTAAACCCCTATAGACCTGAAAACTCTCCATCCGAAACCCCGACACCCCTATAGACACCCAAAAACTTAGAAAGACAGGCACTGGCTTGATGGGTATTTGCTTCGGCCTCTTAGTTGCTGAGTTCATAACCCCCCAAGAAGTGCACACTTTCAGTTCCATAGGGGGTGATCGTATCCCAAAAGTGTAAAGTGTAATACTAGAATACTAGAATACTATAATACTATAATACGAGAATACTCTACTACGATAGTACTATAATACTGCAATACTACAACACTATAATACTATAAGACTACAACACTATCATACTGAAATACTGAACATACTATAATACAAAACTAAAAAAACAATAATGCTATAATACTGTCATACTATCATACTGCAATACTGTAATACAATAATATTAGAATACTATGATGCCATAATACTATAATGCTATAATACTATCATACTGTAATACTATACTGATACAAGGCCTGACAGGGGTCATTCGGGGTCCGGGCCTGGGAGGAGGGCGCACTCGCGGAGTCCTCCCATTTCGCGTGCGAAGGTTTTGTACTTAGGGGACTTTTTTGTACTTAGGACTTGGGCTTATAGGGTTTATAGGGCTTATAGGGTTTAGGGTAGTTTAGGGTTAGGTTTTTTTGAGGGTTTGGAGGTTCAGGCGGTTTTAACAACATGGAGGCTTTTCTTGACCCCCTGCCCTAGCCGCCTCCGAAATCGCGCAGAGCATCCGAGTCACCGACCCCGTAGAAGTCACTTTTAAAAGTTTCACAACCTCAAAACACAAGCCCCCTAAACCCTGATGCAAAGTAAGTTTAATCTAGCATCCTCAGACAACCCTGGCCGCTACTATAACTTCAGATTCCAAGCGCCCGACAAGAGCAGGGAAGTCCTTGGCAGGGTCGGGGATGTTGTCCGCGGCCATGGGCGGCACAAGATGGTGATGGAAGGGCAGCGTGGACTTGCGGAAAGGTCGGGGAGGCTGGAGACTACTGCTTGTGGTGTAGCAGGCGCTAGGCGCGAAGGTTTTTCCGCGCTGGATTTGGGCGTGTCTTCTGGGCAAGTGGGGTCGTCAGCTGGAAATAGCTTCCTCGCGATACAGTCTTGCTGGCGCACGCGTTGCTCGACGCTGGAGGGCAAGGCAGCGTGCTTCTAACCCTTACACCCTCTTTGTTGAACCAGAACCCATATTCTTCAACCCCTAATTAAGCCAAAGCCCTTCACTCTACCTACATTGTAACCAAACCGCGAACCTTCACTACAGCAAATGCCGCCCATAAAGCAGAAATCCCGTGACCCCAAAGAAACCGGCAGGCGGAGTTTACCGCCAGCAATTGAAAGCTCTGGACTAAACCCTAAACCCTTTGAACCCAGGCTCTGCACTATCAGCTGACCCTAAACCCTAAACCCTAAACCCTTTTGCACAGGCTTGTCTCAGCGCGCATGTTCAAACCCTAAACCCTAAACCCTAAACCCGAAACCCTAAACTCTTAATCCTAAACCCTAAACCCTAGTCAAGGCATCAGTAGCGACTGCACCTGCTTCAAGTTCATGGCTGTGAACCATCAGAGAAAGCTTGTGGAATCCCTGCGTTGGCCGGAAATTCGGGGTGTCTCCTGGTGCTGGAGCAGTCTTCATGTGCTCCTCGAAGCCAGATTGATTAGATCATGCAGGTGCAGAACTACCCGAGCCATTCTGCGGAAAGGAAACACGGGGCGGCCTGCGAGCCTTTACTGCTCGCTTGCCGCTGTTTCGAAGATGGGAACCACAATGTGGTCATGCCGAATAACACTGTACATCGCCAAGGCACGGGCAAAGGCGGGTCGAGCTTTTGAGGCCGCATGTTGGCGCTCAAACTAGCGCCAGGGGTGCCTGCTAAAGGATGCTATAAAGGTGTCATGCGCGGACGCAGCGGCTCATGCGGAGATGCATCGCCGTCCTGTGGCGGCACCCGTTCCGGCGGGCAAGCTGATCATCGTCCTCGTCATCGGTGCCACTGTCCTCGCTCTGCTCCTTGGTACCCCAGCAACCATATCATAATATGGGCACCCGTTTTGGGGTTGGATAACTTATAAGGGAACCTTGAAAAAAAAAGGGGACCAAGGGTACCACTGGGCTACTGTACCAAGTCTCTATGAAGGTGTTGCGCACCTGGATTTTCTGCTGGCGCTGCGCCTCCTTTCCAAGGCACAAAGCAGTGCACTGGGCGGCTTCTTACTTCGTGATTCTAACCCTGTGGACCCTACTACCTATACATGAATCTATACTTGCTGTTGGTTAGTAGGGAATGAGGGAACGAGGTATGAGGGAACGAGGTACCCAGATATACCCTTTAAGGGATTATGTAGGGTACCTCAGTCCCCCATTCCCTACTAACCAACAACAAGTACATAGATGATATGCCAACGCTGCGGCTGTGCCCTGAACCCTCCCGAACCTCGCAACCCTTCCCTGGTCTTACAGAAGTTTCAGTGGCGTACCATAGGGACAAAAGTTGCACACAAAGCACCTATAAAGAGTGTTTTGTGATCCCCCCCCCCCCCTTTTGGACGTAAGGGGAATATGGATGAGGGGCAGATCTTTTAAGGTCCTCCTCTCTGATTTAGGTCCCCATCTCTGATTAAGGTCAGTACTACTGGGCATCCTAGATACCCAAGCCCTCTTTTACCAAAAAACCTCCTATCACCATAGACCTGTCACCCTAAACCCTGTGGGGTGGGGGGGGAGGGGGGCAGGAGGCTTTAGGCTCTGATGGCCAGGGTGCTACCCAAACGCTCCTAATGCCGTACCTTTTTCATGTAGTATACTATACCCCGCTATAAGAAACCCAAGAAGGAACTACATTGGAGCCTCCAAGTAAACCCTTTTTGCAACCGGACTATGAACGTGTCCGCCAAGTAAGCTCTAGACTCCAAACCCTAAACCCTAAACCCTACAAACCCTACAAACCCTATAAACCCTGAATAAACCCTGAATAAACCCTGAATAAACCCTGAATAAACCCTGAATAAACCCTGAATAAACCCTGAATAAAACCTGAATAAACCCTGAATAAACCCTGAATAAACCCTATAAACCCCAAAACCCTAAACCCCAAAACCCCCAAAACCCCGAGGCCTCAGTGGCCCGGATGCGGTCTGCCAGGGCCGAGAGCACGTCCTCCTGGCAAAACTTCGGCGCAGTGGCCTCCACCAATCCTGGCTGACATGTTGTCAAGGGATTTTTTTTGCCACCCGACTAGCCACAGCAATGCGGGGTAAATTGGTCGGAGGAGTGGAAAATCCGTCACCCAAGCAGCTACAACTGGCATGGGATATCGCCTTACAGGCATTCAGGGTACGTAGGAAATTGGCGGCTTGGGTTCGTTCAGGAGGGATCAGTATCAAGGGTTTAGGGTTTTAGGGTTTTAGGGTTTTAGGGTTTTAGGGTTTAGGGTTTAGGGTTTAGGGTTTAGGGTTAGGGTGGCGGTCGGACTGCACAGCGGCAGCGCATCCCAAGTCCCAGCACAGACTTCAGAGACCTAGAAGCCCCAACCTGCAAACCCCCTGACCCTGTATTCCTCAAACCCTAGCCTTGGGATGTTCCCCCTTGTACTAACAGTCCCCCCCTATAATAATCCCCGTTAAGGACTGTTAGTCTCAGGGGGGATGTTCGACAAAGAACCCAAAGGTTTGCTTCGGGTCTTTCAACTAAACCCTAAACCCTAAACCTTAAACCCTAAACCCTAAACCCTAAAAACTGGCGGAGCACCTGGGGCTTGAGCTCCGCCATTTGCACGGCGGTAGGCCGTCTTCTGCAGCAGGTAGGCATTGCGAACGTGCTCCCGAACCTGGGCCCAGAATTTCGCGCAAATTAGGGTTTAGGGTTTATGGGTAAGCCCTAAAATTATCAAAGCCCTTATGAGCCCTCAAACTCAGAAGCCCTCAAGCCCCGTAAAGCCCAGGATTGGTTGCATCCTGTTGCGCCAGGACTGCCGTGGGTTGCGACCAAACCCTAGGGTTCGGGTTTAGGGGTCAGGGATTCTGGGGTCTCAAACCTGCACTGACCCGAAACCCAGGCCAAGTGGCCCGAGACCAGTCCTTGTAGCGGACGGCGCACTGAAAATAGAGCAGCTCCTGTCCGTCCAAGGTCTGGTAGGCCTGAAATCTGCACGTATAGGGTTTACGGATCCCGGCAGCCAAGCCCGAATTACATGCAAGAACATGTGCATATATGGCACAAAGAGAGTAGTGAAGAACCGGTCATGTCACCATCGAACTTTGGAGGGTCTTGCGGGCCTTCAAGCTTTGGCCGATGCTTTCTGCGAACAGTGTGAGGTACTCAGAGAGGTAGAAGGACTGGCTACCAAGCATTGCTGGGTCGTAGCGGATCCAGCTGGTGAGGCCCATGCTGTGCCCAGCGTCGATTCTCGTCACATCTTCACCGTTGGCGGATCGCACAGGGAGCAGCGGCAGCCCCCTCTTGAAGCTCTGTATAGTCAGTACGACATAGAAGTTCTGATCCAACTCACCTCAGTTGACTTGACTGGGAGCCGGAGGGACGGGAGTTGGAGCAAAGAAGAAGCGACGTAGCAGTCTAACAATACTCTGTATGCTTTTTGGGCCAGCAGGTTGTGACCCGTTGATCATCTCTTGCACTTTTGTTACGAAGTTTTACGTGGTCATCCGACCTCCTCCGCACTTCTCTGCCTGGTCCCTGTGTTGGCCTGGGGGCAGGTATATCTCCTCATGCTCGTTCATGTTTTGAACCCGAAACCTAAACCCGAAACCCTAAACCCAGGCGATGAATGTAACTGTCCAGCCCTTGCGTGGCTTTAGGGGACCACCACTTACTACCAGGACGGGCTATTATACCCTATAACCCCTGAAAAAGGCCCTTTATAGGGTTGATTATGGGGATTATCGGGCCTAATAGCCCACACACCCCGACCTCCAGCCGTTGGTACGGTGTGGAAGCATCAAAGTGGAGCTCACGTGGATTCAGGCTTTGCGTCCAGGCTTTCGGTAGGGTTTGGAGTTTACAGGGTTTGGGGCGCAAGTTTAGGATTTAAATTAAGCGGCGACAAAGCCTCCAAGCCTGTCCTGTCCCTTCAGGTTTGGGGGTTTATAGGGCCCTCCCCACTCCTGCCAAAACCCTAAACCCTAAACCCTTTTAACCCCCTAAACCCTAAACCCCAAACCCTTTTAACCCTCTAAACCCAATCCATAAGCCCACTATCTTCATGGGCACTGCAAGAATTAGGGGTTCCAGAGCTGCCATCCTGCAGCGGGAGTCTCTGAAAGGGGGGGCACTCTAAGGATGCCCTTGTGAGATGCTTTCCGGGATTCCCTGGTGGTTTAGGGTTTTTAGGGTCTTTAGGTTTTTAGGGTTTTTAGGGTTTAGGGTTAGGGTTTAGGGTTTAGGGTTTAGGGTTTAGGGTTTAGGGATACTCCGTCGGATATTCCGCGGGCTTCCTTGCGGTTGGAAGCCCGGACCATGAGGCTCGGGTGAGGAGAAGTTCAACTTCTAGACAACCCCCTAAACCCTAAACCCTAAACGCTAAACCCTAAACCCCCGCATGCCGAGGGTGGGCAAGCCAACGAAAACAAATCAACAGCCGAAAACCCCCTGAACATTCCGAATGCTGCAATACGATCATACTATAATACGATCATACTATACTACTCGACTACTATAACACTATAACACTACAACACTACAACACTGCAACACTACAACACTATAACACTATAACACTATAGCACTATAACACTATAACAGTAACACTATAACACACTAAACAAACTATAACACAATAATACTCTAATCCTAGAAGACTATAAACACAAAGCAACCGTCCACACGAGCACTGAGGCGGTGGCGCATCTGCTGGATTCCGGGTCTGTTCAGAAAGCCGTGCACCACCTCAGGGGCTTCAGGCTTCCCAAAACCCTAAACAATCCTGCAAACCCTCTGAATTGGGATGTTCTTTTTGGCTTGGGATGTTCTGCCAAGGTTTAGGGTTTTAGGGTTTAGGGTTTAGGGTTTTAGGGTTTAGGGTTGGGATGTTCCCCATTATACTACTAACAGTCCTTGATAGGGATCTCTAATCCCTATTACGGGCTGGTAGTAAGAGGGGGGAACATCTCAACCTATGAGCCTAAATTGAAAAAGCCCCCAAGTAGCTCTGGGGCTCAGGGCCCGTCACAAAACATCGAGGCTCTGCAGGCTACTAAACCCTAAACCCTAAACCCTAAACCCTAAACCCTAAACCCTTTTTGCAACTGGACTCCTTGCTGCCTAAACCCTAAACCCTAAACCCTAAACCCTAAACCCTAAACCCTAAACCCTAAACCCGAATGATTGCAAAGAGGTTTCTGGGCTCGTGCCTTCCGGGCGGAGTCCAGCATGCCTCTCGATGGGATGGCTTCCCGATTATCTTGCTATAGTCTACTATACTTCAAAACTAGACTACGACAAGACCATAATATTATAATACTATAATACCATAAAACTATATTACTCTAATACTCTAATACTCTAATACTCTAATACTCTAATACTCTAATACTGTAATACTGTAATACTAGAACACTATAATGCTATAATACTGAAATATTTTAATACTTGAATACTATAATCCTATAGTACTATAATACTAGAATACTACAATACTAGAATACTAGAATACTAGAATACTATACTGATACAATGATGATCAACCTCGATTAGGATAATCTTTCGAGCACGTCTGCACAGTCACGGAACACAGAGCATGAGAATCAGAGCTAGGCAGCCAGTCATGCCATGAGATCAGCAGGCTGCCGTTTTCTTCGTCACATTTTGCGAATCTACAGATCTAGAATTGGGACCTGAAGCCGAAGCTCTGTAGGCCTTGAACACTATACATCGCTTGCAGTGAAACCACACACAACATTTCCAGTAACGGGTGAAAAGCGAGTCATCGCCACGGCATATGTGTTGAACCACGGTTGCTACCAAGATGTGCTACTCTCTGCAAGAGCCACCCACCTACACGTACATCTATGCCATGTGTTCTACATCGCAGCGAGCATGCTGAACATTGTTCATCGAATCCCTCGTGGCAAAATTGAATTCGGAGGATACGACGAAGGAAATAGCAAAAGAAGCAGATGCTCCTAAACCCTAAACCCTAAACCCTAAACCCTAAACCCTAAACGCTAAACCCTAAACCCTAAACCCTGAACCCTAAACCCTGAACCCTAAACCCTAAACCCTATCTGGGCTTTCGTACATGAAACTTGCCGGTCGGGGCCAGCAGCTGGCTTCCGTGTGACTGGCTGCTCGGAGTTGATCCAGCCGGGGACCCTCCACGTCCACCAGTGGCACCAAGAGCAGGCCGCTGCCCGAGCCGGGGTAGCAAGGGACGATGGGGGTGCGAAGGGGCTTGCCGACCAGCAGACCGGTGCCTATACTGGCCAATTTCGGGATTAGGGTTTAGGGTTTAGGGAAACTACAATTTTGACTGCTTCTTACGAATTACAGTACCAAAAAAGTTAAAACATATTCCCAAGAATCCCCAAGGTGCAGGAAACCTGGTGAACGGCTCTCCCGGGTCGCTTCGCTCGTCAGAAGCACGCTCGTCGGCAGCCATGCCACCACGCTTATGGGCGGCGGAAACCGGACGGAAGATGTTCCTACACTGGTCTTGGAACCCTGGCAAAAATGGCACTTTTTAGCCGTTTCTGATAGGAATCATAATGAATACAAAGAAGAGCATAAAACAAAAAATGATCCCGAACATCCCCAAAAAGGTTCCGTCAGAGTCATCCTTCGCGACCGTTCCCTCTTGACCGGCAAGGGTCTTTAACCTTAGTAGCCCAGCCCAGATTATGAGAAGGGCACCCCTTTTTTTGGGGTGGTAACCTTATATATGGGTTTAGGGTTTAGGGTTCAGGGTATAAGGGAGCCCCATAAACCCAAAAAACAACGAGCAGAGGGTACCCACTGGGCTACCCAAGTAACCTTTCGTCCCACTGCAAGGCTGGGTGGGTCTCCACAGCTCGCTTCAGCGCCTCAGATGCCCCTTATTTTTATAAGCAAGAAAAAAAACCTCTGAAAAAATTTAATTCCTCTGAATTATGATCCTCCTATGACCCAATCAGGGGAAAAATATCTTCCTCTGAATATGATCCTCTTGGAACCCAAGAAGGGGGAAGATATGAAAACAAAATGTCCCTTAAGGGCCGACCTAGGTGCACCAACTTCCGGCACCCGCACTTGTCGTCCATCCCCTGCATCGGGTGGAGCTGCCTCCATCATACTGCCGAGCAGGCTCGGGTCTTGCCCACCAAAGCGCGACATCAGCATTCCTAGGATGGCCACGAAACAAAAACCCTCGGAAGCATTTCCCTGAAGATGACCCCCTTCAACCCTAGAAGGGGAAACCCTAAACCCTAAACCCTAAACCCTAAACCCTAAAAATGCAAAAAAATATCCCAAAAGGGCCGTACCCAGCTTCGCATCAGGATGGCATCCGGGTCGGCTCCGTCCCCGTCCTCCTCGCTCTTCTGCAAATCCGGGAGCTTCTGCTCCCAGGATCGCCACCAAGCTGCCCTCTCCGGGCTTCCCTTGGCCTTACATCTGCAAGAGCTAAGGGGGGAAAAGTTTAGGGTTTAGGGTTTAGGGTTTAGGGTTTAGGGTTAAACTTTAATATTCCTACTGAATAAGGAAGCCCGAAAAGCTTAAACAAGTTCAACTAAAGGCGAAGTAAGTGGCACCTGCAGGAGATCCTAAGGTTGCTTTTTCTTCCTTCAATGCCTCCAAGCGAGGTCCAACCTCGGGCTTGCCAGGCTTTCCCAGCTCCTCAAGCAGCATCTCGTACCTCATCTCTGCCGCCTGCGCCAGCGTGAGGCCTGCCTTCTTTGCCATGGATTCATAAGCGTCCATGAAGCCTTTGTTGTATGGACGATAGATGGGCCCTGGACGAAAGACAGTGCGCTCACGATGGTCGTCCGAACCTTTCAGCAGCACACACATGCACGAGAGGTTGTCTTTGGAATTCGCCTCCAAGGCTTTCACGCAAACCGCTTCGGCCACCATTCCTGGGTCATCTTTGACCCTCAGGGCTGACGCGGCATGCTTGATGACATCGGGGTTGGGGAATTCTCCCTCCGATATGCCATCGCAGACTAGCAGGAGGAAGTGCGAGTCATCACACTCAAAGCGGCCAAACTCCGGATTGCAGGTCACTGGGCGATCTTCGGGTCCGGGGCCACCCGTCTTCTTGAATTCCGCATCGCCGAATCCGCGGGAAACCGCCAGCTCACCATTTACCCGCGCTATGCCTCCAGCCGCCTTTTCGACTGTGCCACCACAGCGGTAGATTCGCTGGCGCTCGGCCGGGTGGCAAGGCTTGTGGTCGGTAGTGAGGCCCTCGTCAGTTCCTCCGCCGTCTACTATCCTGCCATCTCGCCGGCCGAGAAGGATGCGACTGTCCCCAGCGTTGGCAACTCGTACTTGGCACTTACCACCGATACCCTTCTGCACAATGCACATCGTCGCAGTCGACCCACTAGCCTTCCCTGTTGCTAGAAATGCTGCGTCGATGTCGAAAAACATTTGCCTAAAAGCTGCATCATCTCTTGGGCAGCCATACCTGCCGAAGTGCTCCTTGAGCTTGGAGGCCACAAATGCGGAGCACATGTCACCACCATGGCCATCCAGGACGGCAAAGAAGCCCCAGTCTGGCTGCGCGATCATGACGTGAGCATCCTCCATGTTGCTCCGCCACCCATTCATCTCGCAGGCGGCTATGCGGAACCCTTTGGACCATTGCTCTTCAACTACAGTGGACTCCACCGCTTTGGGCAGCATTGCCCCCATGGTTGGAAGACCAAGCCCCGGCACCAGGCCACAAAGGATTGGTACCTCGAAAAGCGCTTCACTCGCGCACGCCCCAGCTACGTACACCGCCTTCTGGGCAACAAGGGGCCCTGTAAACCCTCTTATAATCCCCTACCATCCCCTCTAAACCGGTACAAGTACCCTCATTCTGAGCTAATAACATTTCCTGCAGGATTCCGTGGCTCTAGCCAGGGCCTCGGTCTGGTTCATGGAATTTCGGCTTGATCCAGAAAAAACTTTGGGAGCTCCCTAGCATCCGGCAATCTCCATGGCCATGTGCTCGCCCATGCCCTGAAACCCTAAACCCTTTGCAACCCTAACCCCTAAATCCTAAACCCTAAACCCTAATCCCTAAACCCTAAACCTTTTTTCTAAACCCTAAACCCTGACACTCCTTTGTAGGCCGCAGGACCCTCGAGCCCCTTTCTCTCGCAGAACCTAAACACTGAACAACCCTAAACCCTAAACCCTAAACCCTAAACCCCCCAAAAAGCCTAAGCCCTGAGGCGCCCCCAAGCCCCGGGGCGCTCCTGTGAAGTGGGACGTCGCCCACTCGAAGAGGTTGAGGTCTCCGGGCGTGCGAAAGATGTGGTGGATGGTGAAGGTCCTGACGTAGGGTTTAGGGTTTAGGGTTTAGGGAAGCTGCGGATCCTCATTCAAGATTGAGGCCGTTTTTTTTGTTGCTGGGTCGGTTGGGCTCCACAGCTGATCGCACGATTTTAGCCACGTACCAGCATGAAGCTTGATGCAAGTTGAGGTGCTCGCAACTGGGTCTTGCCAGATGTGGGTGGAAGGTGTGAATTCTGACTCTTTCTGCATTCCGACGCACACCGGAATTCTAAATTTCGCGAAATCTTATCAGGCAAATACCTCGTAAAGCCCATATAACTACCCTCAACCTCAACCCTTCCGCGACCACACCCATGGCTTAAAAGTACGCTGCTAGTACCTCTCAGTAGTCTTGGGAACCCCAAACCCGAAACCCTAAACTCTAGACCCTGCACCGCACCGGTAAACCGGTAAACCGGTAAACTTGGGCATCCTTGGTTGTACCTGCTGCTACCAAGGGAACAACCTGACCTCATGCCTCCAAAAACTATTTGCGTAAGAACCCCCCCAAAAAATGTATAATAATAATCCCTATACTGCCCTTTCAAGGAATAGTACCTTCTAATTTTTCGGGGGGTTCTTAAGCAAATAGTAGAAAACACAGGCGCGGGTCCCAGGCTCACGTTGGGGTCGGCAGAAGTTCATGCACTCAAAAGGCTCCGAGAGGCCTGGGCTTCTTTTGGGTTTAGGGTTTAGGGTTTAGGGTTTAGGATTTAGGGTTTAGGGTGTAGGGTGGGTTTGGGAAACCTGAAGCCCTCAACCGAAAAAGCCTTAACATCTGCTGTGAAAGACGTTGTTGATGCTGAAAAACCCTGCAATCCGCAACCCTGCAACCGAAACCACAAACCCTCGTTTCGTGGGTTCCCCTACTAGCCCCCCTCTATGCTACCCCCCCCCCCCCCCCCCATAATTAAGGCGATTTAGGGATGATTAAGGTTATTTAAGGCGGGAACCTAGGGGGCGGCGACAACCAGCAGTACTGTGGCTGATGCAGCTGATTGCTTCAAAGTGCGACTGTCTCCCCAAACTAAACCCCTTAAAGCCCCCGAGGGCGAAACTAAACCGCCCCCCCAACACCCTCTCGCCCCTTAAGCCCCTAAACCCTATACCCTAAACCCTAAACCCCCTCAACCCTCAACCCTCAACTTGGGGTTGAACCCTTGAGGAGGACCTAAGAGAGCCATTGGAGCCGCAGGGGCTGGTGATGGTCTGTGAGCAGTCGCCTCTCCTCAGCTCTGCTGTCAGAAAGCCTCACAAATCTTTAGATGGCCTCTTACAAGCACACCCAGTGAAGACAGCTAAGATTATGAAGCATGCCTTCCCAAACTACCTTATGCTTCTACCCGGCAAAAAGACTGTCAAAAAAAAACTCAAAGATCAACTTCCCAAAGCGGTCTCGTCTCTGCGGGAAGTTCCTCCGGGTGCGCATGCGAAGCTCGGCTGCCACCTCTGGATTGTGGAAGTGGGCCTGAAAGTGCTCCTGAGCTGTAGGGCTTTCTGACTTTTTAATGTTGGGATGTTCCCCCCTTATACTAACAGTCCTTAATATGATTATAGTGCACCCTATGATAATCCTAACAAGGACTGCACATGTTAGTATAGAGGGGAACATCCAAGGGTTAATGCTTTAAGACTATAGAGGTGAGCCACAAGGCAAGCAGCGGAGTCCTAGCTCCAATGCAAGCAGCGGAGTCCTAGCTCCAATTTTATGTGCCTTAAAACTACTAAGCCACCGCAACCCTGGCCCAGGGTTTAGGGTTTAGGGTTTTTAGGGCAAGTTTAGGGTTTAGGGTTTAGGGTTAGCCCAATGAACCCTGAACCCGAACACACAGCTTGAAGCCAGCAAATCCCAAACTGGGCTTGAGACCTGGAAGGAACCCATAGCCTCCAAGCCCGGGCGCGCCGAACAAGACCGCAAAAAGCCGCAACAACTTCAAGGAAGACCACCTGCCAAGGAGGTTGGGATTTTCCCCCTTATACTAACAGTCCTTAAATAGGGATTATAGTACCCCCTACTAGAATCCCTCTTAAGGAGCTCTTAGTATAAGGGGAAACATCCCAACAAGGAAAATTAAAGAAGTTGGGCTCGAGGTACGAGCGCTTCGACGCCTAGGGGTTCGGGTTTACGGCGATTGTAGGGCCTTTGCGGTTATAGGGTTTAGAGTCTGGAGACGCTATCGGGCGTAGAGGGCTTATTATCTTGGGGGTTCATTCAGAGCACTCGGTGTAGGGTTCAGGCTACACGGTTCAGGTTCAGAGTTTCAACAGCGATGCCGAAGACACCTGTGCACGATCGCGTCTCCCGGCGCAAGCTGCTCTTTCACGACGAAGTACCTTAGGAAACCCTAAGGGCTTGTAGTACTTCCCCCCCCCCCCCCGCAAAAAAAAAATAAAAAGTTTAAAGATACCTACTCAAAACCTGTAGCGGCCATTCTCAAACTAGGGGGGGGATTCCCTTCATATACCCCCAAAGCATGTAAGTAATCCTTAACGCCGAACCTGATGTATGTCATCCGTAAGCTTTTCGTCAAAGGCCAGGGAAGGCCTTCACTGGCTTCTCATCACACGACTGATGTACAACCCTTAACACCAGGGGCGTCCCTGCGAAATTCCGAGATCTGTAATATAGGGGTCGAAATAATTCCTAATGGCTGTCCCTTATGGTCCCTTATATGAATTTCCGAAAATGACCCCCCAAGCCCTGTTCTAATTATTAAGGCCCCAGTATTGGAACCTTCGAATAGAGAGTCACTCCTTCGGGCAAGGCCTTCCCTTACTACTGAACTTGGAACCTTCGCAAAAATTTGAATTTTAGCTGTTTATTAGGAATTATAGTACACAAAAAAATCAAAATATTTCCCAGTATCCCTGACTTACAGCCTGCGTCACCGTCAACACGAATGAACAACATGAGAGCAGTCAGAAAGCAAGGGAGCGCCAAACCCGCAAAGGTCAAGACTAAACGCAAAAAACCCTAAGCCCTGGACCCTATCTGAAAGGTCCAGTCTAATTCCTTTTTGGGTTAGCTCTAAGGGGGATTATAGTATACTACTAACCCTAATCCCTAAACCCCCTAGACCCTAGACCCTAGACCCTAGACCCTAGACCCTAAACCCTAAACCTTAAACCCTAAACCCTAAACCCTAACTACGAGCCCATCAGTGGCCGAGGCGCTCCGGGCTCGACACCGAGAACTCTTGCGCGCCCCAGGATCCTTGAAGCTCCCACTTGAAGGGTCTTTATTGGTTTAGGGTTTAGGGTTTAGGGTTAGGGTGAGTTTTTTACCTCATTTTTTTGGGGGCGGGGGCCTATAGGGCCTATAGGGTTTGTAGAGCTTACAGGGTTTATGTAGGGCTTTTTTGAGGTTATAGGGTTTTTGTTTGGTTCAACATAAGGTTTCTGGAGTTCTGGGCTTCTGCTTTAGGGTTTAGGGGTTGGTTTTACCTGGCGGTACACGGACCTCCTAAAGCACTCCCCTTCAACAAAAAAAGAAAGGCCGAGAAGGGAGAATCAAGGAAGAACCACCGACGGCCGCTTCCACCCAACACCCAAACAAACTTCAAAAACTTCCAAACCTCCATGATTAAAAGCTAATTGCGTCAAGGAATTCTGCGATTAACTCAGCCGTGCAACCAGCCAGCAAGACAAAGACTATCAAGTCCAGTTCGTTCCGTGGCTCTGGGGACAAATGGCCCCTCTAGACATAGAAACCCAACCCTTCGCGATCGGCTCTTGGGAACTATGAGAATAGTGTCTACTAGGGCGGTAGTGATGAGTGGGGTCGGGCGGTTCAATACGGGCAGACAGGTGTTGCAACCACCAATCGATCCAAAATCTGCTGAAGGTTGTCCTAGGCTCTGGCTTCGGGTCGCAGCAGGACCCGGGATGGATCCTCCATCTGCTTTGGGCTTGTGGGGCTAAAGCCTCCCTAAGGCCTACACCCTACACAGCCTGTAACCTTAAGCCCCAGAAACCAGGCTCAAAAACCCTAAACCCTAAGCCCTAAACCTCGTAACGCCCTACCGGCGCTTAAAGGCTTCGGGGTCCCAAGGTCACGCTGGTGGTCCTCAGGGGCGTTGTGAACGACGACGTCCGACACGGAAAGTCTCACCTGAGCACAAAGGCCACCGTTCAATGTGATAAGACTCGTACCTTGGGATGCTGGGTATAGGATTGGGATGTTCCCCCTGATGCTGACAGTCCTTAATAGGGATTCTAATCCCTATTCCGGACTGGTAGTATAAGGGGGAACGTCCCAACTCGCACCCCTACCCCGAAAGGCTCCCCTTTGTATACTCCCAACTATGGCCCTCACATTCCCTTAACGGATCCTTAAAAAGGTGCTTTAAAAAAAACAAGGGTGCAACCTTAGGGGTCCAAGGAAAAGTCCCATGACGCCTGCTTGGGGGGACTCCGGGTGATTTAATGGGGCTTAGGCTTTGGGGCTTTAGGGAGTGCATGTCTAAGTTCTGTAGTAAACCACAAGCCCTTAACCTCTGCTTGGAGTCCCACCCAAAGTAACACTCGCAGCCTCTTTTGTTGAGTGTCCTTCCTGGAATCAAACTCCTTGCGGAGAAGCCGCCGCAATTCCACCCCAAGGGCAGCTGCAGTAGGAAAGGGAGGCAGCGGGCTGTACAGCTAGTTTGTGCCAGCCTTCGCAGACATGTGCGCATTGTTGTAATGCCTTTAAAGCCTTGTAAACTGAAAACTTGCGAAAACTGTCTGGGTCATAAAGTCATAGGGCACCCCCCCAAGGCTTTCTGCGGGAGGCCTTCTTCCCACAGCAAGTTGGGCAGCAAGTGGCACCATTCCTCGACGCTCTCCGGGTGCGCCATGGCTCTGAGGAACTCTAGGTGCTCTGTCTGTACAGCGAGTCCCACAAAAACTTCGGCTTCTCTCGGGCCTTTTCCATGCCGCGCGCACACACACACTGCAACTCGATAAGGCCGAAAAGCCTACTACAGACATGCAGTCGATTCTGGCACAGGACCTGAGACGGCGCCTCGTACGAACAGTTATGAAGGCTCGAGGACATTTCAGATCTCCAAGCACGAAAACCATTTAACATGATATGAGTAGAATATCAACATACTATTAATATAATATTCTATGATATTCATAGAATATTCATATACACTTAAATACAACAAAAAACATACTATTAACAGACCATCAATAAACTATTGAAACAATATTAATATAATGTAATAGTATAACATAAAACATATTATCAGATATTATGTAATGTAATTCAATATTGTATGATCTAATATACTGAAGCTGTAACCATGCATAGATCATATTACTACCTAAGCTTCAGGAGCACAAGCTTACGTAGACCTTGTTGGCACATAAGCTTAGCTGGACTCGCAGGCCAAGCTGGAGATGGAAGGCTGCATGTCTCGCTTCCTCCACTGGCCCGGCAGCGGGCACCACGCAAGGCCTTGCAGGAAGGGACTGCGGTTTAGGGTTTAGGGTTTAGGGTTTAGGGTTCAGGGTTCAGGGTTTAGGGTTTAGGGTTTAGGGTCCATTTCAGGCTTCCTCGGGGTATAATGGGGTCCTTTCCCCAAAAGGGTAAAATGCTACTTGGCATCCTGGAACCTGAGCCACTGCGAAATAAATCCCCTCATGCTGATGAAAACCAGGGAAGAGTTGGTGGACTACCAAAACCTCTTTTGCCTTAACCCTTAACCCTTAACAACCCTAAACCCTGTCATGCGTCTTTTTTCGTCATCATGGCCTTGCCGCCGTTCGACCACTGGCCGTCGGCAGGAAAGATCAACGGCTTAAAGAGATTGATTCGACCAGGCCGGATGTGAACAAAGCGATCCCACACGCATCATACCACAGGGCAGAGTGTGAGGTTTTTTGCCACCTAAAGCAAACCTAATACTGTAGAAATATACTGTAGGAATGTTTAGGGGGTGGGGTGTTACCACAGACAACCGCTCAAAGCGGAGACCATAGAAGAAAATCCCTGAGAAAGCTCGTGGGGGCACTGTTCGCCTGTCGCTAAGGTGACGAAAGCGGGGAGAGCTTGAGCTCGGCTGTGCTTCGAACAGCTGAGAGAAAACAAGCAAGCCTGCCCAGCTGTCTCTATACTGAGCTTGGAACCCTACGAGTGGCAGAAAATATGATTTTAGCTGTTGTTTTAAGAATTATAGTGCCCAAAGAATAAAATGTGTTTTTTAGCTGTTTCTTAGGAATTATAGTGCCCAAAGATTAAAAGAGTATTTCCAAGTATCCCTAAGGTCTGAGGCAACTTCTCGGAGGCCTCAACCCCAAACCCTAAGCCCTTTCGAACCTGGAAGCTTCATGCCAGGACTGAACCCTGCGCTTAGCCTAAACCCTAAACCCTAAACCCTAAACCCTAAACCCTATAAACCCTATAAACCCTATAAACCCTAAACCCTAAACCCCTGTGACCTCGGGTGGGTTCTTCTTAGATTCCTCTTGCCATCCCCTCAGTCTGGAGCATTTCGCCCCTGGCTTAAACCCCAAACTCTTTCGCACGCCCTACCTCGGGGACCAAATGAATCCTAAATTTGGGGTTATATATATACATGTGTACCCCATACTACTATAATTCTTATTAAGGTAATAGGAACCATAGATATATATATATATATGTATCCCATACTACTATAATCCTTATTAAGGTAATAGGAACCGTAAACCCTTTTAGGGTTCACAACGGGTCCCGAATGTATAAACCATACCCACCCCTGAACCCTTCGAGGTACAACCAGGGTTGCCAGAACTCCCTTTAAACCCCGAAACCCTTAACCCTAAACCCTAAACCCTACACCCTAAACCCTAAACCCTTTTCAGACCTTACCTTCCCTTTGGGTTGTACCTGATACAGCTGGAGGGGTCACAGTGGACCTTGGGGTAGTTAGCAAGAAACACCCCGAGCAGCTGGGCAAAAACAGGCCCGAGGTGAGGCAAGGCATACCTGCCCCACCGGCCATTCCTAGTAATGCACAGGATCGCGCGGTGTCCGCGGGATTGTGCTGCAAAACAGCGGCCTCTCTTCAGGAATCTTGCTGCAGGCTTCATACAGTGGCAAGTTAAGCTCCCTAAACCCTACACCCTAAAACCCTAAGCCCAACTGCTGGTTGAACTGCGTGGAGAGTCCACAAAAGGAGCACCCAAGGAGCCGTCAGAAAACGCCTCCTCTGGCCGCGTCGTCAAGGAGGCCTGCAAGATGCTGGGCCTGCCAGACACGACGGGTTAAGAATCTTCGCAACTGTTCTAGGATGCCCGCTTTTTGACACAAAATAATAATAATAATAATAATAATAATAATAATAATAATAATAATAATAAAACATGTAAGTTCACAACTCACATAGCCAGCAAGTATGGAAACAAAACAAATGACATGAGAATACTCTGGTCAAGTGTCACTGAGATGGCAGGTCCAGAGTTCTTGGGATGAAAGCTCAGAAAATCAAAGGAACAGTATATTATGTAAAAGTACGTAATACATAAAAAGCACAAAAAATGAAATATCATCCTAATCAAATTAATATAACAACGCAAGAGCATCAAATCATAAGAATAGAATGCAGTACTCGTAATATGACTACACATCATTTAATATGAATAACTACAGTACACATAATTCTAAAATTCACCCACACTCCATCCCTCCCCTCTCGCCTCCCATACCTCCCCTCGGCCTAGGCTTCGGAAGCAGTCGTCATTACCTCCTCCAGGAGAAGGCACTTGGACTTTGAGGGCCTAACTGCTCACAATTTCGGCAGACGAATCGACGCACATTCATGTGAGTCGCGATTTCAGGCGCGGACGCCCTACCCGAACACAAAGCAGGTTCGGGGCTTGCCGGAATTTAGTTTAGGAATGGGAGCACACAAGCACAAGCACAGGCACGTCGATAGGGCGTTGCCGTTTGGGGGGGAGCGTGATTGAGGCTGAAGTCTTCACATTGCTTGGAAGGTTACATCGAGGCAAGGAGGGCTCAACGGCCATGTTGCACATGGCCAGCTCTTGACGGTTTAGGGTGCAGGGCTTAGGACATTTTTTCTGTGATGCGCTGAGAAGCCGAGTCTTCAGCACCAACGCAAACCCATGAAACCCGAGACCTTCCTAACAAAAGCCTTCTCGAACGGTTCCACAGGTCTGCTTGGCTTCTGATGGCCTACCTAGCCCTTAACAAAGGGTTACCTTGTAGGCAGCCGAATCCCTACTAACCCTAACAACTTGTTCGAGAGGCTTCACGAAACCCTGCACCACCCAACACACCCTCAACGCTACGGGGCTAACTTCCTTCAATATTCCTAAACCCTAAACCCTAAACCCCAAACCCCAAACCCTAAACCCTAGACCCTAGACCCTAAACCCTAAACCCTAAACCCTAACACCGCAAGGGGAGGAAGCCCAAGTGTCCTTGAGGATGGCATGGAGCTCATCGTCACATCCACGGGTTACTCTCCTCAGCTTCAAAAGTTTGCGGTTTGTAGGGTTTAGGGTTTAGGGTTTAGGGTTTAGGGTTTCGGGTTCAGGATTTCGGGTTTAGGGTCTTGGGTTTAGGGTTTGGGGTTTAGGGTTTAGGGTTTGGGGTCACCTCAACTTTCTGGCGCTGAGCATCGAAGTCCCAAGGCAGAAGCTTTCGGGTGTATCTTGAGAAGGCCATGCGTCTGATAGATAACAGAGGTAAAATGTCTCTCTACACATCGGGTATAAGACCTATGTGTTCTGCAAACACATGGGTCTTCCCTCAAATTACGGGTCCCTTGTGTTGGGTCGTTTTAAGGGTTTCTACTGCACGGGGCCGTAGAGCAGGAGAGCAACAAAAAGGTTTGACAAGCCCCATATAGGTTCGTGTGATTTGGAGCCGGGCTTCTCGAACAACCGCACCGAACTGGTAAGCTTGGGGGCATCGAACTGGCCCATCAGCGACGGAATGCCTGGGGTGTGTCTTCAAGCTACTCTCACCCTAAACCCTAAACCCTAAACCCTAAACCCTAAACCCTAAACCCTAAACCCTAAACCCTAAACCATATCTCTTCTCTGTTCTGAGAACTGAGCTCTCCCTCTCTTGGGTGCTTCCTCGGGCGTTTTGGGGTTTGTAAGGCTGTTAGCGGTCAGCTGTAGTTTGCCGAGATCCAGACACCCTGCTCGGGGAGCATGCGGGCCAAATGTTAGGGTACGGAGAGTGAATCAAAGCCGAGACAAGTGCCGGGCATCTCAAACCACAGCGGTGCGGAGCCCGCAGCAAGCACCATGAATCAACACAGCAAAACGAATCAACAATGCATCACTCAGCCCACCAGCCCATCAATCAAAGCCAACATCTCGAAACAACACACGTAGGCCGCGGGGAACCAGCGGGAACCTTGAACATGTGATGTACTGCTGAAAGACCGCAGAATGCCTGCGAACGTAAAGCTGCATGGAGAAGATTCATGAAGTATGTGCTGCGGCTCCCTTGTTGTAAGTGACTACAATTGTTGCGCATGTTGGGCAACATCTGCCGTATCAAAGGTGTTTCGCAATTTTATGTTGTGTGTGAGTCGGCCCTTCACTATCATGTGCAGAATGTGGTTCTGTAGCTTTCAGCTGTGGAGTGGAGACTTCCAGATCGCCCCTGAAATGAATGATGCTCGTATTTCACATCATGACATGGTCACGTATCCTGCCGCTTGATGCTCGCTGAAGCATAGACTACGCGATGTGTCAACATGTTTCTTTCTTGTTCATTTCCATGATCTGAGCGGATGGCGCTTGGGTATAGCGCAGGAAATGACCAGCCATCGCCCAGCACCACTGGACATTTTAACTCTCGAAGCCCACAAATTCTTGATGAAGTGTAAGCAGAAACGAGTGTCCCCCGCCCCCCCACACACACCACACTCTGAACCGCAAGACCCTCCATTTGGTCCATTTGGGTCCTCAACAAAGAGGGAGGGGGGGCTGGGGGGAGGAGGACAAGTTGCTCTTGCCAGAGCGAAGCTGATCTCGCACGGCCGTCATGATCGCAAGGTAGTTCTGCCGCAAGTTGACCTTTGCTTCGCTGAGCATCCTCAAGACTCATTGAACCCCAAATTCTGAGGAAGGCAAGAAAACTTCCCCCAAACTCTATCGGGTTGCCAGGGCCGTGGCTTCAGCCCAGGAAGGTTCGAAAGTTTCAGGCCTTTTGGCCGTGCAGGTTTCAGGGCTTAAGAGCCTTGCCCCCCCTCCCCCGCCCCCCAAAAAAAAAACCAAAAAAAAATGTTTGTGGGGGCACCCAAAACAACATCACTTTAGAAACAGGGTTCCAGGATACTGGAAAAACAAGGCCGACACTGCTCCAAGTCTTTTATCACAAAAAAAGAGCACCTTCCGGTACGCAATGAGGGTTAAAACAAACCCAGACCCCAAACCCTCGCTAAACTGACACTCTCGGACTTTGTGGGCCTATGCGGGTTCGATAGTGCATGAGGCTTGCCGACCACATTCGTGCCCTCGCAACTACGCAGCTTGTGCTGTGCAAAGCCAAGAGGCGCCATCGTGTTCGTAGGTCAGGTATGCCCTCGCCTCAGGACTCTGAGGGTGGACTGATATAGGGGCCCCCACGTCTACCAATGTCATCCCCCAGAAGACCCTCTGTGACAAGAACAGAAGCTACCCTTCAACCCTAAACCCTAAACCCTACAGATCCATGCGATTCTTAACCTCTGAACCCCTAAGCCCCAAACCCCCATCCCTCGCAGCAAGACTTTCCTGAACCCGGCGCCTCGTCGTCGGACCTGCAGGCTGAGGTTCTCTAAAACTGAACCCTAAACCCTATAAACCCTAAACCCTATAAACCCTAAACCCTATAAACCATGAACCCTATAAACCCTAAACCCTATAAACCCTAAACCCTGAACCCTAAACCCTGTAAACCCTAAACCCTATAAACCCAGAACCCTAAACCCTGAACCCTAAACCCTATAAACCCTAAACCCTGAACCCTAAACCCCAAACCAAGGAACTGGAGCATTGGGAAGAAAGGCAACCGGCCTTAGGGTTCGTTGCGGGGACAGGTCGTGTTTTCGCAGCCACTGTAACGATTCCTTGGGGGACCAAACGGAACCGAACCCTAACGTTTGGGGTCATCTAGCCTCTGCTACTATGATCCCTATTAAGGCGATATTAACACAAGATTTTGAAGGAGAAGCCTGTTAAGGTAATATGAACCAGCAACCCTGTTAGGGCTCAGAAACACCCTCTACTACTACAACCCTTATCCAGACACATGAGCCAACCAACCCTGTTAGGGTTCACAATAGGGGATAGGACTAGGGGACCCTTGGGGATATAGACCCTCTGAATAAAGCCCCTGTTTAAGAGAGCCAGAAGAGGGTTAAGAAGGGTTCCCTGTTAAGGGTCCCCCTTATCCTACCTAGGACAGAACTTGGCTGCACTTAGGAGGGCAGCTATAAACTAAATTTTTAGCTGCCTTTACTAGGAAACCCAATAAACCCCAAAAAGGCCAAGGATCTAAAGCTACAGTAAAGAACCCACAAAGATAAATTGGTCCCCCCAAGGTTTGTAGGTGAACTGTGGGTGGAGTGAGGACTGGAGAGCCCCTCACTTAACTGGGATCGCAGCAGAGTTCTGCCAAGAGCCGCCCTGCCACCCCTTTTGCCCCAAGTCCGCGAAACTGAGGGTAAAAGGGTTACGGGATTAGGGTTTTTATAGGGTTTAGGGCCAAAGGGTTTAGGGTTTTTAGGGTACCTAATCCCTCAATCCCGCCTCAAGGCAAACTTCCGGTTCACTGAGCTCCCCTTCTCCACGCCGTGGACCATGTGCGGCGGCGTTGGGATCACGAACCTCCGGCGTGATGGTGGCTCGGTAGGGGAGCTGCCGTGCGGATCTAGATCAAAATCCGAGTATAAATGCATAATATATCCATACACACACATATATGTATATATTTATATATGTGTATATATACATAGACATGTCGACGTTCTTTTCTTTTACGTGTTTCCCGTGCCTGCCTAAATTCCCACCTTACGTGGAGGTTCATATGGTGCTTCATACCCCACTTGTAACTGTACTTCTAACTAACACGAATAGAACCATCTTAGGGCACTTGAGGGGCTTATAAGTGGGTTATAAGTACAGTTATCGTTTGATTGTAAGTACCGCCAACCAATACTGTCATTATAACCCTAAACCCTGTCATATAGTAGTATCTGGGGGATCCGCAAGCCCAGCGTGGTACGGTAAGGGCGAATTTTGGGTCCCCCTAAGGAAGGCCTTTGAGGTTTAGGGCCTTTGGAAGCAGCCGATATGCTCTACTCACACTTATATATATATATATGTATGCATCTCTATCTATATATATATATATGTATATATATATATGTATATGTATATATCATATCATGCATACATACATACATATATATATATATAAGCTCACCCCCCCCCCCCCCCCCAATGGAAAAACCGCGAAATGAAAAGGACAGGAAAAACTGGTTGTTGTCGTGCTTTGTGTTTTCTTGCGCGTTTTGCCTTATTGCTTGCGCTTTTGTGCTTGTTGTGCATTGTTGCACTTTTCTGGCATTTTTTGCACTTTTGCACTTGTTTTTGTTTTTTTGCACTTTTGCACTTTTTTGGCTTTTTACACTTTTTTGGCTTTTCGCACTTTTGCACTTTTTTTGGCTTTTTTGCAATATTTTATATACTGTGCTTTTTTCTATGCTTGTCTTATGCATAGAAATCCAAAAATCCAAAAATCCAAAAATCCAAAAGTCCAAAAGTCCAAAAGTCCAAAAGTCCAAAAGTCCAAAGTCCAAAAGTCCAAAAATCCCAAAATCCCAAAATCCCAAAATCCAAAAATCCCAAAATCCAAAAATCCAAAGTTCTCCGGACAATCTCCCAGGAAACTTTGGGTTTTTGGATTTTGGGATTTTTGGATTTTTGGATTTTTGATGATTTTTGATGATTTTTCACATTCGAGGTTGGCTCATGTTCGTTCTCCTTTTTTTGAATGAAAGGAGGGCGAACATTCAAATGTACCCTTATCAGAATTTCAAATGCGTCCTACCTACTCGAAACGTTGACACTACATTCATCGCACAACTAAATAGCATATTCAATAAGATTTTGAATATGATGTTTCTGTATATGAGGACCAGGTAAAGTCTTGCCTATTCAAATCACTGAGAAAGGCACGTACATGCACAGGCCTTTGCCAAGGAGGCTTTAACAGAGAAGCCCTATATGTGCAAATATCGAACTTTGTGCATTTGAAAGAAGCTGAAATATCCTTTTTTCAGTAAGAACCATTCTGGGATCACAGTACCTGCTGTTTAAGAAAAAGTCTATATCTCATGAACACCCTTATCTTTGCGATAACGATTTATTTAGTTCTTCTGATCTTTTAATTCAAGCTCTTAATATTGCATTGCCCCCTGTGATTATTGCAGCAAAGCCTGCTCGAATCGCTTTAACGTCTTAACTACTCGATTGAAAACTGTATCAATAAAATCTAAGTAGCCTGTTCAAGAAGCCAAGAAGGTTTTGAAAATATCCTACTCGAAAAGCCAACAAGAGGTTGAGCAGAAGAATTCAAGACAGTAATAGGGCTTGGGTCCAATACAGGGCTAGTGAACTGTCCCAATGGACCAACCGCGAAATGGAAAGAAGTCCAAAAGTCCAAAAGTCCAAAAGTCCAAAGTCCAAAAATCCAAAGTTTCCCGGACAATCTCCCAGGAAACTTTGGGTTTTTGGATTTTTGGATTTTTGGATTTTGGGATTTTGGGATTTTTGAATTTTGGATTTTTGGGTTTTGTGTTTTATTTGTGTTTTTTTGTGGTTGTTCGTGCTTTTTCGTGCTTTTTTGCACTTTTCGCACTTTTTTGCACTTTTTGCACTTTTTGAGCTTTTTGCACTTTTTGCACTTTTTGCACTTTTTGCACTTTTTTGCACTTTTTTGCACTTTTTTTGCAATGTTTGCACTCTTTTGTGCTTTTTGAACTTGTTGGTGCTTTTTTAACTTCGCAATATTTTTGCAAATATTTGTCCTCTTGAATGTGCTTTGCCAATCCAAAAATTCAAAAAAACCCAAAAATCCAAACATCCAAAAATCCAAAAGTCCAAAAATCCAAAAATCCAAAGTTTCCTGGGACATTGTCCGGAGAACTTTGGGTTTTTGGATTTTTGGACTTTTGGATTTTTGTTTTTTTGGATTGGAAAAGCACATTCAAGAGGACAAATATTTGCAAAATATTGCACAATTAGAAAAAAGCACCAAAAAGTGCAACAAGTGCAAAAAGTGCAAAAAAACAGAACAAAGCACATAAGAACACATCAAGCACAAAAAAACACGAAAAAAAAACACAAAAAATGCGCAGGAAGCACAAAAAGCACAAAGCAGTGGACAGGGAAAGCATGGCAGGGTACAGTGTCTCGAGAACCTTGGACATGTCGATGTGGGTCCATTGGGGTTAGAGGTTGGTCCATTGGGGGGGCGGGGGGGGGAGGGGACCATATATATATATATATATACATTTATATACACAAATAATTTTGGCTAAGATATGTTACTCTAAGGCTCTGAGGGGTCCGAACAAAAAAAAACAACGAGCCAAGTGCTTTTTACCGGAAATTTCTTGAGGCGAATCTTCGGTTCCAGGCCCTGGATCCCGAGCTGATCGTTTAGGGTTTAGGGTTTAGGGTTTAGGGTTTAGGTCTAGCGTTGGGATGTTCCCCCTGATACTAACAGCTCTATTAGGGATCGGAATAGGGTACAAGGACCCTTTTAAGGACTGTTCGTCTAAGGGGGAGCATCCCGAAATACAGCCTCAACCTCGCTTGGAAAAGATTTGTTGAAGAATGCTGCCGCCAAAAAAATACGTTCGTCAAGCTGGAAATAGAAACATTTTTCGAATGCAAGGGCTCCATACTTGGAGGTTCATGGTATATACTATAACCCAAGAACAACTGTACTTAAAGCAAACACACGTATAAGCCCCTTAACTACAGTGATAATTGGGATATTAAGTCCCATGAACCTCCCTAAACCCTAAACCCCCAAAACCTCAACCTCCTAGCAGAATTGAGCCCGAAGCGCCACATCCAGCAACTGCTCTTGCGGCCCGCCCGGATCTCGCTGACTGCCCGGGCAAAGGTTTCCTTCCTTGGACTTTGGGGTCAGAGTTTAGGGTTTTGAGTTTAGGATCCGGTTTAGCTTTTCTTTGGCTTTGCGACAAGGTTTTCGGTTTTCCACCCGCCAAGGTTAGTCGGGTTCGAGGGGTGGGCTTCTGCAGGAGCGGTGTACCTGGCCCACCTCGGAGCTCTGCGAGTCTGACATGCAAGAACTGAACCGGCCACCACCTTTCAAGCGCGGCTGGGGGGTGAAAAGAATCGCACGCTGTGAGGTGGTGTATCCTAAACCCTAAACCCCAAACCCTAAACCCTAAACCCTGAACCCTGAACCCTAAACCCTAAACCCTAAACCCTAAACCCTAAACCCAAGTCCTGTCGAAGTCCTCGCTTTGACGAGGATCAGCACTGACACTCAAGTCAGAAGACTCAGCTGCGGGCGCCCCGTACATCCGACCCTTGGCCTCGGAACCCAGAGAGTATAACCCTAAACCCTAAACCCTAAACCCTAAACCGTGACCCAACGCTCTTAAGAGGCCCATCTCAGCCGGGACTCTGTGCCTCTGTAAAACGGTTCAGCGAGAAGTTCTTCGAGGCATTGACCTCGATGTGGGAGGAGCTCAGGGTAGTTTCATGGGCCCCTAATATGGCCCCTTACCTTCCTTAAAGGGTTCTGAGGTATGTGCCCTTGGGTTGTTCAGGGTACGCAAGGGGTTTATAAGGGGTCCCCTTGGTAAGGGCCCCCATGCAAAGGGACCATGTAACTACCCTAAGAAACTAAGAGAGGGGGCAGGTCTTATTTGCTCTATGTAATGGGGATTACAGTACCCCTAACATAATCTATTTTTTATAATCGATTAAGGACTGCTAGTATTAGGGGGGACATCCCAAAATAGTATAGCACCCCTTGTAATAATAGCAAATTCTTAAAGTGGGTGCAACCCCTTTAGTCCTCATAGGTTCAGGGGCAAGCTGGACTAGATGGTGAGTATGATGCCCTGCGCACAGGCTAGCCAATCTCGCCCGGAGTAGTGTGAGTATGAAACACCCGTAAAGCCTAAAGCCTGAACCCAACAGAGGGAACTGTGATTGGGCGGGTCAGAGCGATCGGGTTTTCAGGGAGCTGGGGTGGTGCTGGTTTAGAACTACAGCTAGGAAGCCCAGCAAGCTGGAAGGTGCAGCCTCCTGGCAACTACTCCCTGCTCCCTTCTGAAGACTTCGCGCGTGGGAAGGCTGCTATGATTTGGTGTGCTGTTCCAGCAATTCAATTCGCACCTTCGCGCTGGCGAATGTCAAGCTATGCAAGCGCCCAGGGCCGGTCGGCTGTCTTCGAGTTTGCGGGCTGTGTGCTAGCTCGATGCCACCAACTCCTGGCTCCTGGACCTTCCAGAACCTGAAAAATTGTAGGTTCTTGAAAACAACCGGGTTTTGCAACTGAAAGCTGGGTTCTTGGCAAAAGCCCCGAACCCATTTTTTGAATACGGGGCTTTGTACGGCTAAAATGCGGGTTTTGTATGGGTAAAATACGGGTTGCGGGCGCTTGCTCAAGAGCAAAACCCGGTTCTGCGGCAGGAAACCGGGATTTCTTAGCTACGTCCTCCAAAACCGGGTTTTTCGCAAAGAACCTACAGTTTTTTAGGTGCTAGAAGGTCTATAGGTATGTAGAGCAAAGGGGCAAAGGTTTGCCGACCGCAAGGGCTTCCTGGTTGCCTCTCTGTGTCTCTGCTTAAAGCAACCTTGAGTTCTGCAGCTAGCGAGGTATCCCGCGATTGTTGGTGGGCAAGGGTGGCAGAACATGATATTCGATTGGCACCGATGCCACGCAGACGGAGTTGAGATTGGGATCATCAATCTTTTTCTCCCTAAACCCTAACCCTAAACCCTAAATATAAGCCCTAAACCGGGGGAGGGGAGAGACTCCAGTCCCCAAGAAGCCTCCAGTGAAGCCAGGCGGCTGGTGTCACAGACTGCGAGCGCGAATGGAAGCCATAGTCCTCTTCAAACGTTTAGGGTTTAGGGTTTAGGGTTTAGGGTTTAGGGTTTAGGGTTTAGGGTTTAGGGACTAGCAGCTCCCCCCGGACTCGCAGCTGCAAGGCATCTCTACACCGAAAAGCCCTAACACCCAGGAGAAGCACAGAATCAAAAGCTACAGAAACCCGCCACCACCCTTACATCCTCTCCATTTTTGTAAGCCTGCACTGAGATTCATCCTACCCAAAACCTATCCCTGAACCTTCCTTCCTTCCTTCCCGATGCATGCGGGCGGCAGATCACAGATCAACCCTGCAAACCCTAAACCCTGTAAACCCTAAACCCTCAACCCTGCAACCCCTAAACCCTAACCCTAAACCCTCAACCCTGCAAACCGTAAACCCTGAACCCTGCACCCTAAACCATAGACCCTGAACCCTACACCCTAAACCCTGAACTCCAAACCCTGAACTCTGAACCCTACACCCTAAACCCTGAACTCTGAACCCTACACCTGTCTCAAGTCGCATTTCAGGGCCCCAGAGCCTTCGAAGCGCTGTTCAGGGCCGAAAAGCGCCGGCTCCCGCCTCCCAATACTCCAAGTTAAGAAATCTGGGCTAGGGCTTAGGGCTTATAGGGCTTATAGGGCTTATAGGGCTTATGGGGCTTATAGGGCTTAGGGCTTCTAGGGCTTAGGGCTTCTAGGGCTTAGGGCTTCTAGGGCTTAGGGCTTATAGGGCTTAGAGGGCTTATAGGGCTTCTCGGGCTTAGGGCTTCTAGGGCTTAGGGCTAGGGCTTAGGGCTTAGGGCTGAGGGCTGAGGGCTTAGGGCTTAGGGCTTAGGGCTTAGGGCTTAGGGCTTAGGGTTTAGGGTTTAGGGTTCTGGGCTTAGGGCTTAGGGCTCAGGGTGTGGCTAGGGTTTAATTGGGGTTGAAAGGAACTTCCAGTAAGTTGCTAGTAGGGGTTGTATGTCTATACTCATGCGAAACTCTGCAGGAATCCTATCAACTGGAGCTTCCAAAAGCTGGGTTTCCAGATGTCGTCGGCTTTGGGGGTCTTCTACGGGGCTTGAGGGCAGAAGCAGGGTAGCCAGGCCAGCCACGAGCCCAAGGACGCGTCATAAGCCCCAAGCATACGAGTGCCAACTATAACTTAAGGATCGAGCCTAAAAACAACTTGAGAGCCTCCAAAACCGCCAAAGAACCTCTGCCTCCCCCCCCCCCCCCCCGGCCAACAAAAAAAAAAGCATGATGCCTTGGCTTGGCTTGCCCACGTTGCCCTGTCGCGGCTGTAGGCTCGGTCGGCTGGTGCTGGCGGGGCCAATCGGTACATCTGGCACCTCCTTGATGTTGGCAGCTTCCTGATTTAACAGGCCCGGGGAGTACCGGGTATGATGCTGGAGGGGAGTCTTTAAAAAATCCGACATGCCTCATGGGTGAAGCTGGTGACCAACATTTGCCCAAAAGCATTCCAAGTCTCCGTCTTCTCGGCGCGGCCGGACAGCACAGGGGCGTAAGACACACCATCCGGCGACTTCGAGCGGCAGCGGCGCGGGGACATGAGTCGCACGGCCACATCATGAAGGTTCTCGGGAACGGAGTGCTGTCGGGTGAGTTGTGGGGATGACCGGGAAGAGCCGCGGCCACGAGTTGACATGGAGGGCTTGTGAGTATCCTCCGACTTTTGAGGGCGCCGGTTCACCGGTGTCCCCGCATCGCCAGACGGTGTGGTCAACTTGGCCGCAGATTGAGACTTGTTCATGGGGGTGGGAGGCCTCTGAGGCTCTTCCAACTTCTGGGGGCGGCGATTCACCGGTGTCCCCACGTCGCCAGCCGGTGTGGCCTTCTCCAACTTGGTTGCGGAATGAGACTTGTTGAGGGGACTGGTGGCAGCTTGCAAGGATGCACTCTTTTGGAGCGGCGCCTTCCCCTGGCGTGGCTGACATGGCTGGTCCTCAGAGACGCGCTGCTTGCGGGCCTGCACAGTCGTGTCAAATTTGAGGATGTAAGAAGGAATGCCCACACTGCAATGGCGGAGAGATTCGCCAGGCTTTCAGCGCAGGTTTAGAATATGCATGCGTATGGTTATGTGCCGATATTAAATATCAACGAAGTAAACAAGTATAATGATACTAATAAGTAAACATACATATACATATGACTATACATATAAAATACATATAAATATTAAATTGTTTTCAGACTTCGTGGTCTTTCCCGCCTGGGCTCGGTTGGCGGCGTTGCTGGGTCCATAGCACGGGGCCGTTTTCGCGGCCGTGGGGCTGGAAGCCGAACCCGAACCATCTCAGCTTTGCATGTAGTGAAGGGTTTAGGGTTTAGGGTTTAGGGTATAGGGTATAGGTTTAGGGTTTAGGATTTAGGGTTCGAGGGTTTGGGGAAGGGTCTGCGTTCTTAGCAACTAATACTGCATGCATTGACTTCCATCAGGCACGGTCTTGTGGAAAGACAAAGCTGTGGAGTGTTCATGCCAACATACGGCAACCACCCACACACGCATACGCCTACTTGCTGTTCCGCCAAACACCTGCGCCCGGATGCCACGCAATGCCTTCTGGCATCTACAGTTCAACCCTATGGGATGCTGGCCCGATGAAGAGCAAGCCTCAACCCCTAAACCCTCTAAACTCTAAACCCTAACCCCTAAACTGACTCCAGACGGCTTTCAAGCCCTAAACCCTAAACCCTCAAACCTCCTCCAGCTCCAAAGCCCCGTAGACCCCCGAGGAATCGACAGGCCTGTATGGGCTGCCAGGTGACTTTGCGAGGGGAGCCGCGCGGAGACGCGGCGCTCGACTTGGGGATAGCCAGCCATGGCCAGAAGAGCAGAGGATAAGATCCCAACCCTAACCCTAAGGACACCAAGCGGCATAGGAGGGAAAATCTCTGAACAGAGCATGGCCCTCTTGCATGCAGGAAATCCCAGCAGCACCTGTCTCGGATGCATCTGATAGTTGAACCAAGCTATAAGATGCAAGAAGTTGAGCCGCGACTGTGGAAGGCACGCCAAAGAAATCCAAGGATATTCTAGAGATCACTGGAGCTTCTTGTTCATACCATCCGCTCACGCATGACTAGCAACCACTCATGTCCGCCATCTGCGATGCCCAGCAGATGCCAACGAAACCACAAACAGGGACCGTGCGGACCAAATCAGCCCTAAAAGGGTCTATAGTTCATATATACTCTATACATGATTCTAGTAGTATAGTAGTAGCATAAGTTAGCCGATCCCTTGCAAGTTTTGGGATTATTCCTATACTCCCCCCCCTACATCTCACCAACTACATCACCACTACTCCCCCATTACCAACACCAGTCTAGGAAAAACCGATTACCTCATCCATATAAGAGGTACTTCCGTTGGGGGTTTCGGGTTTAGGGCATTAAACCTTCGCGGGCCTGTGGCCGAAAGCATGCCATGGCCAGTCCAGGAAACTCTTTTCGGGGGGGGGCCCGGGGGGGGGGGGGGGGGGGGGTTTGCCTGGGGGGGGGGGGGGGGGTTTGGGGGTTTGAAAAGGGCTTTCCTTGGAGCGCGGGCAGCTGGCCGTCACTACGAGATACGAAGTTCATTGGCCTAGATAGGATAGTGCAAAGAGGTCCTCAAATTGTTAGGGTTTAGGGTTTAGGGTTTAGGGATTTTTTTGGCACCCGGCTAGCCACAGCACTGCGAGTTTAGGGTTTAGGGTTTAGGGTTTAGGGTTTAGGGTTTAGGGTTTAGCTCAGGGGCTTCCTTCGGTCCGGCTGGCAAACTGTGCTGGAGCCGGAAAGTGGGCAGCCACGGGTTGACTTTTGGGATGTTCCCCCTTTATACTGACAGCTCTCCTTAATAAGGATTATATGTACCACCTCTTATAATCCCTATTAAGGACTGTTAGTACAGGGGGGTAACATCCCAAGTTCTCAAGAACTCCATTTTTTGTTTGTAGGCTCTTCTTGTGGAACCCCTATAGGATTCCTACTGGTAGGTAACCTACACAAAAGTAGGTTTTAGGTTAAGGTACCGCTTGCGTGGAACTGCAACCGAGAATCATCAAACACCTTGTGCAGTTCATGTGCGGCTAGCCATAGAACGTGGAGCCCCAATATCAACAATCAGGTGGTCGATATCGGTATGTGTATAAGTCAGGAGGTGGGGTAATGAAGGCGTGGTGGGTAATATAGGGGCCTGCATTGGAGTGGGGTTTTGGGGGGGATAATATGGTATACTTGTAAAGGGAGCATAGGGTAAGATTATGAGTACTTATTCCGACCCCTAAAGCCTTAACCCTGAAACCTAAAGCCTAAGCCCGAAACTACAGTATTCATTGGACATAGTCCTTGTGGCACGCTGGGTTTTGAAAGAGCCGGAGGCAAGAACGTCAAAGGGATACACACCGTTGAAGCCAAGGCGGTCATCGAAACAGGAATAGTTAGGGTTAGGGTTTATAGGCTTTAGGGCTTAATTTTCAGGATCTATTCTACTCCAGACATCTCTGATCAAGAGCTGTTGGAATCCCTGAACACGCCCCCCCCTCCCAGCCCAAAGCATGCCAAGGGAACATCCTCCGCGGTCTGCAGCCAGCTGTCGTTCAAGGATGTCGCGAAGCTGACCTTGTCATGCATCACTGGGACCTTTTGCTTCAAAACGTTTCAAGACGAAGGGTTTCTTGGTGAAGTGCACCCACCAGGGCGGGCACATCCGTTTTCGACTCTCACTCTCGCTAATGACAGGCAAGGCTTCGAAAGGACTCGGTGGACAGTGGTATTCAACTCCGCCCAGGATACAAGGAGGGGCCCCCTTACTGTACTAACTGTAGTTAAGGGACTCCGAACCTAATTTAGGATCCTTATAACCCAATTTAGGGTTCTTATAACTCTACTTCTAACTAGGGGGCCCCTCCTTGTAGATGAACCGAGCAGGGCTCAAGAATCCAAGTCAGGTTGTGTCGGTGCAGAAGGTGTCGCCTTGGCGCCGCAAAGCGGCCCGCACATCTGCACAAAATGCCTGACGGCTGCCGATGCTGCTCACTTCTTCGACAGGTTCTCCAAGGCATGAACCGCAGCCTCAGGACGGGCCATGGTTAGCTCGGACAGCTTCTGCATGAACATACCGCCGTCGTGGAGTCGCAGATCCATCTTGGTCTGGGTGGCCTGCAGGTGCTTGTCAGCTGCATCCAGGCGAGAGTGATAGGTCTGCATTGTCTCCAGGGTCTCCTTGAGAACCTTCTGCTGGTTCAGGAGGGCCTTGTATCTTCGCACGCCAGCTTGAAAGTCGGCCATGAAGACAGACTTCAGCTTGGCTTCACTCTCCTGCCCTTGCTTCTTCAATGCCTTGATGCCGGAGGCCAGCATGGAGATCAATCCCTCCGGCTCGCTGTTCTCACCGGCCTTGGCCTCGGACCCCTCGGCCGCTGGCTCCGTGTGGGAGGCCGATGAAAGGGCCAGCAAGGACAGGCCCTTGGGCGAAGTACCTTCCTCGCCCAGCACATCAAGCTCTTTTGCCTTGCTGTCATCCGTCTGCTCCACGGATTCTGTGAGGAATTTCTGCGCAGCTGCCAGCTGGTCCTGAAGCATCTTCAACTCGTTGTGGCGCTGCGCGTTTCCCTTCTGCAGGGACTGCGCGTGGCGCAGCAGGTCTTCGTCGGCCTTCTTTGTCTCCATGATGTTCTTGGCAAGCAATGCGTTCTGCTTGACCACCTCAAGGTTCTTCTGCTCCTGCTCCTTCAGCTTTCGGTCAAACACGGCTTTTTGGCGCTCCATCCGAGCCGCATTTTCTTGCTGAACCTCAAGCATCTGCTTCTGCAAGCGCTGCGCTTGCGCGGATATGCCGCTCAAGGTTTGGGAGGAATCCGACAGCATGGAAGACACGCTTGGAAGCTCGGGGAAGCCGTTTTTACCAGCATCCACGACGCCGGGAACTGAAGGCAAGGCAACCTGATTGGGGTCCGGCAGACTTTGCCTGGGATGGTCCTTAAAGCCCTCCGAAAAAATCCTAGATTTGGTGTTCTCTTAAACACAGTAAAGGAAAACATAAAGTATCCAAAGGTCCCACCTAGCTGCTTATTCTTGCCCTCCAGGGCAACAGCATCCAGCTGAAACACCAGCGAGGCAGCGATTGGCACGAAGACACGTGTCAACTTCATTGCGTTTTTGCAGCGACGGGGCACTTACACAGCGAACCCAGAGCCGAGCGGCTACGGTTTTCGGGTGTAGGGCTTCGGGACTACAACGTTGCCTGTGGCCAGGTGGGAGTGACGCACCAAAAGAAACTGGTCCTGCTACCTAGGCTTTATGCCTGGGGGCTTCTGGTAGCTTCTAGTTTTAGGACATGTTTCTTGACTTAGGGTTCTGTTTAGGCTACAGGGCCTTGACCTTGCTTTGTAGTTCACATCTTGCCAGGGCCGAGTCGTTCACTCACACACCCCTGGCCAGGCTTAGGACGGCTGCTTGGAGGTTCATGGTACTTGATAACTTAATAACTCAACGATAACTGTACTTATAACCCAAACATAGCCAGATTAGGGCACTTAAGGCGCTTCTAAGTGGGATCTAAGTGCAGTTCCAATTTGGGTTATGAAGTACCATGAACCTGCAAGTAGAGGCTTGGCACAAGGCATCCACGCCCTCAAAGCTTCGACCGGAAGCCTGTCGCAGGCTTGCAAGGAAGTCATGAGAGCTCTGCGAGCTTCCATTAGGGCGACTAGAAGCTCGCAAAGACAAGAACTTTTATCAGATTCACACGATGCACGACATTATTCATAGTATCACTGGTATTAGCCGTATGCATTCATTATATGAGGTGAATTATATTAACAGTATGTACTATCGCTGTATCAATATGATATATCCATATACAGAAATATATATATATATATATATATGTATGTGTATGTATGTATATATATATATACACACCTGTTTATGTATTCATTTTTATATGTATATACTTATTTATATACATATTTGTAACTGAAGCCTTTCCCTGGGCCTCACAAAGAGCCCGGCCACGGGCCACGGCATGCTGGACGGCGTCGGCTCCCGCCTTGAAAACGCCGGGCAGTCCAACTTGGGTCTGAGGCTAGTACCAGCATGGGCTATTAGGCCTTAAAATCCCCAGAATGAACCCTAGAAAGGGTCTGTTAAGGGATTTTAGGGTGTAATAGCCCATCCTAGTAGGGTAGTAGGGTTTTGGGTGGTAGGGTTTAGGCTTTAGGGTTTAAAGTGTAGGGTGGTAGGGTTTTGGGTGGTGGGGTGTAGGCTTTAGGGTTTAAGGTTTAGGGTAGTAGGGTTTTGGGTAGTAGGTTTCAGGCTTCAGGGTTTAGAGTTTAGAGTTGCGGTTTTCTGGGTAGTAGGGTTTAGGGTTTTGGGGGCTCCCTCGTCGTGTTGGGCCCTTAAATGGTTAAATGGGGACCCCGTGTATGCCCCTGATATACCCTATAGTGCCCCTTGTATACCCTATAAAACCCGAAAAACCCATGCCATGTAACTCCTCTTACGCTTTGCCGGCAAAATGGCTTCACAAACGGGAGCGTAACTGTAGAAACTTCAAAAAGACATCCTTCGGCCATCTTCGGTCTCGAAACGCTTCGGGCAAACTACCCCTAAACCCTAAACCCTGAAAGAAAGCACAAGAAATGCCCCTGCCTGTGCTGCACGAACCCAGTCAGCAAGCCTTGGAAGACATTGATTAGAGTGCTCTTCGACTACAAAAAGGCAAAAGAGGTTCCCTAAACCCTAAACCCTAAACCCTAAACTTGTAGGCACCTTTGAAGACTTTTGCTCTCCTTTCGATGTTGAAAGGTCGGATTCCGGATTGTAAAGCGGTCCTCCACAAGGGATCCTATTTCGTAATGTCCCTGTCGACGTGATGCGCTCTCCCTTTAGGGGTTTGGGGTTTAGAGCTGAGTAGTAGTCCGTGTGAAAGGAACTCCTAGCTGGCCCCTAAGCCGTAAAGCCTGGAGGCCAAATCCACCAAAACAAACTTCTGCCCATGATTCGAGTCTGCTGGCTGTTTTTGTATGTCGCTTTAGGTTTGTTTTGTTCGTTCCTCTGGCAGCCCTAAGGTCTATGTCTTCATGATCATGTCCCAGAGCATGATCTTCAAGAAAGAAGAAAGGAAAGGATTTTGGGTTCTATAAACTGCGAGGATACAAATGCACAGCGAATTCTGTATGAAAACGGCGTTTAAAAAAACAAAAAAAAACTGCAGCAGGTGGTCCAAAACATTTTTTCGATAGAAACGACAACGAATAGATGGATCACGCCGTGGGGTGGGGGGGGGGGGGGGTGTGTGTAGCATTAACTCTCTCTCTCTCTATATATATATATAAATGCATACTTCTGTATGTATGTGTGTGTGTGCAAAATGAAATGCGGAAACCGGGTTACAACTAAATCATAGTAAATAAATAATAATAACAATGATCATAATAATTTTAATAAGAATAAGAATGAGAATAAGAATAATAATGATAATTACAATGATAAATAATAATAATAATAATGAGAATAAGAATACTAATAATAAGAGGAAGAAGAAGAAGAAGACGAATAATACCTAAACCCTAAATCCTAAACCCGAAACCCTAAACCCTAAACCCTGAACCCTGAACCCTAAACTGGAAAGAGGCCCTGGCGCGCCAGCCACCAGCGCCTCGGCCTCGGGCCTCGCGAGCTTCGTGGCGCCCAGGGCCTTGAGCTCCTGGGGACAGGGGGTTTAGGGTTTAGGGTTTAGGGTTTAGGGTTTAGGGTTTAGGGTTTAGGGTGAGGGGGAAGGGTGGTTAGGGTTTGGGCTTTTAGGGTTTGGGTTGTGTCTTAAAGTAGGTTATAGGGGTTCAGGGGGTGGCTTTTTGTGTTGCCAGCTTGGAGGGCTTACTCTAACTGAACTCCAAACCCTTGAAATTTTGGGAAACGCCCAGCTCCAAACTGGTCAAAAGCCCTAAGCCCCAAGTTTTGGGGTCCCTCAACCCCTGGGCGGGAGAATTAGGGGGGGTGGTGAGGGTTTGGGTGGAGGGGTCTGAGGGTGGAGGGCTTTAGGGACCTGTTGGGCCTGGAGGTGTACTCGCTTCTTCTGAATTCCAGGGCCTTTGGCCTCCTGGGAAGCCCCGAGCTCCAAAGCCACAAAGTCTGGTCTGAATTCCCCCGAAACCCCTATAGCCCTAAACCCTAAACCCTAAACCCTATACCCCTAAACCCTAAACCCTAACCCTAAACCCTAAACCCCAAACCCCCAAATCCTAACCCTACTGAACCTGCAAAGCACCCTGGGACTCACACGGAGCGGAGCTCGTCGGCCGCTGTCTGACTCCGTTGGTGCCGGCGCGACAGCTCCTCTATGAAGTAGGGTTCAGGGTTTAGGGTTTAGGGTTACTACAAGGGAACCTGTAGAGACTCACCAATAACAGTAATCACATGTGAACTCTGTTTCATATGGGGGTGTACCTTGTTGGGGCCCTGATTTTAAGGGGTGCCCCTTTTCTTTGGCGATCTCTACTAGGGGGGGGGGGGGCACTTACTCTCGCATTCACCTGTATTTCGGCCTCAGGCTACGTGAAGGCTAATACTGTAACTTACCCCTAGTTTTCATGTTCTATGATGCGGCACCTTATCGTGGGAAGGTGGCCCCTTATAGTGGGAAGGTTGCTCATAGATAGACCTGAGAAATGACCCTCATTTTGTCTCAAGAAGCTCAAGAAGCATTGAACTTTATACTCCTACAGCCTCACCTGTCGCCAGGGAAAATTTGTGGAGGGTTCTGGTTTGTCCTGCCCGCTGTGCGACTGCCTCACCAACTTTCGCTTGAGCACACGCTTCTCGTGGACACACAGACTTTTCCATTCCCGAAAGCCCCTGAACCCCTGAAACGCTGTCAAAACGATCTGCACGGAACAAGCATCGGCTTTCTTTCGGCCCCTTTGCTGTGCTCTGCACTCCATCTTGAGAAGACAGTTGTAATGCCAGGTCCTCCAGTCTTCGTTCGCACCTCAGAAAACTCTGCAGGCAGCGTGATCCTTATGACTCGAAGCTTGCCCAAGCAAGGCCTTCCAAGATGTTTGCTGTACCTGCTCCGCTTTCCTTCGCGCGATGTTACATTGCAACCATATGAGGGTGAAGCCTCAACAACTACCATGTTGCAATACTTAAACTATCCCCATGATGGCCCCCCCCCCCCCCCCTAAATACCAAGATACTACAGACGACCTCCAAAAGCGACCCCAAATACCCATCCCAGCAACTTGCTGCAAGCTGCCAAGCCCTTCATCTTTTGGGGGGCCCCTTGCACTGTGCGCAGCGCGATGATCGCTGGTGCGTCTCCGGCTCGTCATCTCCGAGTCGACACAAGATGCACAAGAAAAGCTATTAGGGTTTAGGGTTTAGGGTATAGGGTTTAGGGTTTAGGGGTATCAAGGAAGCAGAGCAGGAACGTGGAGAAGGAGATGTGCGCACCGGGTTCTTCAGAACCTCTTCGAGGTTCCTAATGAAAGGAGGCAAGGGCAGCTGGTGAGATCTCAGGTAACTGCTTGGCGCATGACAGCAGCTGTACTGCCACATGGAGGTACCGCACTGTTGAAGTCGAGAGGCACTACAGGTTGTGGTAGTACGGACACTGGTCAACAGTTGTACAGTAGTGCCAATACCTCAAAGCCTATACTGTCATCTACAGCGCCATCACGAGTCAGCGGATGTCGCGGTGGATGACCTGCTGTACGAACAGCTTTGCAATTCTATCTCCCCTTAGAACCTTAATAAACATCACATTTTAATATCCTCTTGGGTTTTATATAATACACAAAATTAAAAAATAATTACCAACCCTGAATGTCAGGCTTGGCAGACTCTTTCGGACCTCCAAACGGTCGGAGGTATGGGGTATGGGCATTGGGCGTGTGGTTTCGGTTCCAGGCTCCCGGGTCTGCAACCCACCCCAAACCCTAAACCCTAAACCCTAAACCCTAAACCCAAGTCTCACCGGGGAGAGAGGTGGGGCCTCGATGGTGGCCCCCGAGTATCTCGGCCGGGACAAGCCGTCGCGCCAAATGTCGGTGGAGAGGCTATTCCTAAGTGCTTCTTAGGCTCTTGCGATTCGGGAGGCTAGGGTTTAGGGTTCAGGGTTCAGGGTTTGGGGTTTAGGGTTTGGGGTTTC